TTAGAAAGGTGCCTAACTCATATTAAACCCTCAATAAATGCTAACTATTATATGGTTGAGCTGAAATTTTTCTCCGTAAAACATATCCATGTATCAAAATTGGTTTCTTTATTCTACTAAATAATTTTCTTCATTTCAAAGTATTATCATCTTTATAATTTCATTGTTACTCAGGAATGGTTCATCATTTTGTATATTCATTTTAAGAATTATATTACGATATTTAAATCTATATCCTTAGTGGTACCATCTGCACTGCGAATAATTTTCAGAAAGTTTTTATTGGCTTTCTTACCCCAAAATTTCAATCACATTGTTTGACTTTTCTTCAGAATAAAACACTTCTTCCAGACTTAAAAAGAAGCCATACCTAGAAATCCTGCAAAAAAAAAAAAAAATGTCAGTTTTCATGACAACCAAAATAAGTAAACATAAAAAAAAGTCAAATGTTACTCAATTCATTTGAATTTTCTTTAGTTTTCATGGATTATTTTAAGGAATAGACAGTATTTGTTTTAGTTTTTGTCTTCAGTCTGGAATATATGTTTCATGCACCTGTATTTTTACTTTTTTAAAAACAATTTTCTTCATCTCCCCTTCAGACCTCATGCAAAAGCTTTGAGTTAATAATTTGGGGTAAATGACAGAATTACAGGAAGATACAATATGATGCCTCCAGAGAATTTGACATAAATAATTTTAGATCAAGGAGTATCTCCTACTATATCCAGTAATAATATTACCTTACCCTTCATAGTACTTTACAGTTCAAGGTACTTTTCCATACACTATCTAGTTTAACCCTAAAAGTAACCCAGTTACAGACATTTTTAAGTGTAATCAAAAATCCTCAGAAGGATAAAGCAACTTTCTTAGTGACAGCAAATGGTGAAACAGGAATACAAACCCAGGATTTCTTACCCTTTGTCCATTTTTACTACAGTTTTTCACTGTTCTCAGAAGAATGGCTAAAAGTTTCCCTTGTTAACCACCAGCTGTTGCAGTCATGATACGGTTCCAGATGCCTAGTATAAATGCATCCTGCAGAAATTGAAGATGACTAAATTCCTATCACTTGAGCTAAAGTAACTTTCCCAAGGTCTTCTATGGAAGGCAAATTATCATAGTTTCTAAATCAGTAGAAAATAAGGCTTTTCCTTTCAAAAAATGCATTATCTAGAATAAGAATCAGCAAACTCTTTCTGTGAACAGCAAGATAGTGAATATTTTAGGTGTTGTGGGCTAGACAATCTCTGTGAAACTACTCAACTCCATTGTAGCATGAAAGCAGCCTTAAGCAATGTGTAAATGAATGGCATGGCTGTGTCCCAACAAACTTTATTTATAAAAACAGGAGCAGGATGGATTTGACTCTTGGGCGGTAGTTTGCCCACCCCAATCTAGATGATGCCCACTTCCACTCTAGAAAGATGGAGAGTAAGATCTAGATCGTCCTTATTGAAGCACCAAGAGAAGCACCTAGCAGAGAGAAGTGAATATTCTTATATGTTAGGGTTTTGTTTTGTTGTCATTTTATACTGGGAAGGGGTTGAGGAGGGGCTGATCTGGTAACCCTGCAAGTCTGTATTCTCTAAACTGTATGACAGAAAATATTATTCTTGCCTCTGGCTAGGGGACTAGCCAGAGAGAAATAATGGCATACATCCTTTAATTCCACACATGCCACCTGGTTTCTTCTATTTTGTTCTGGGAGCCACTGGGTACACAATGATGAGGATGGCTCACTGGCAACCTTCTAAAAGTTAACAGTCTCGGGTAGGGGTAGAAGAGGAGGTGATGAGGACAGACAAGTGGGCAAAAAAAAAAATGCAAAGAAAACTGTGAAAACCACTAGTAAGGAGGTGTTTCAAAAGTATACTGAGAAGACAAAGGCAGGAGAAATGAGCTTTATCCTGGGTGAGTAGGGTGGCATGACAGGAGAGGATGACATCTAGCCAGGCCATGAGGAATGTAAGGATCCCAAAAGGAGCTGATGGAAGCATAAGTCAGGAAGAAGAAACTGTCAGCATATGGGAATGAGATGCAGGGCATGTGCAAAAAATAATATAGCCCCTCTCCTACCTACAGCACGGGACAGGTTAGGAGAAGGAGAGGGAGAAGTAGGAGTTGGAAATCCAACCAAACCTTCCTGGGAGCCTGAAAGGTGAAGCTGAGCTGTTAGATTTTATTCCACAACACAAAAGAGCCTGGGTGGTTTTGAGCAGACACATAAGTAAGACCAGAACTGAGCTTTACTAAGAGAATATCACCAGTAGCGTGGGGAAAGCTAGGCTCACCAAATGAACGTCTAAGAACTCCAGAGCAATGCTGTCCAAGAAAAATATAATGTAAACCACAAATGCAAGCCATATCTGTGATTTTAAAATTTCTTGTTAGCTGCAATTTTAAACAGTAAAAAGAAACAGAATCAGTTGTAATAATATCGTTTAGTATAATTTATCCAAAACATTATAGTTTCAATGTGTAATCAATATAAAAGTGATAAGTGAGATATTTTACATCTTTACCTCACACTAAGTCTTCAAAATCCAGAGTATATTTTATATGGAGAGAAAATCTCAGTTCAAATTTGCAGTATGGTAACTAGCGGGTGCCACATAGGACAGCACAGGTCTAGAGCCTAAGAGAGAAGAGGCCTCCACGAAGGGACTATAGGTGTAAGCTGGAGGTGAGATCAGAGGATGGTTGTTTGAGGATGCCTGGCTGCTTAGTTCACCAAGTCCCCTTGTGCCCCAACCTCTTTTAGAATAACCATCATGGGAATAATTGCTGTGCCTTTAAAAATAAACTGTTCATAAAATACTATGCAAACTTAGAAAATACTGTTCTAGCCAAAGGTAGGTAAACTATTAAGGTGAGTAAAATCTCAGACACTGTATATTAGTCAGGGTTCTCCAGAGGGACAGAACGAATAGGATAGATGTATATATATAAAGGGAGGTTTATTAACGAGTATTGACTCACACGATCATAAGGTCCCACAATAGGCCATCTGCCAGCTGAGGAGCAAGGAAGCTAGTTCGAGTTCCAAAGCTGAAGAACTTGGAGTTCGATATTCAAGGGCAGGAAGCTTCCAGGACAGGAGAAAGATGTAGGCTGAGAGGCTAAGCCAGTCTAGTCTTTTCACCTTCTTCTCCCTGCCTTTATTCTGGCTGCACTGGCAGCTGATTAGAATGTGCCCACCCAGACTGATGAAAACAATACTTTTCATCTTTCAATCCAATCAAGTTGACACTCAGTATTAACCATCACAGACACTTTATATTACAATGTTTACAATATGGAGTCTCAATCTTAAGATTTTTCAACTGGAGAGGTTCTCAACTATTATTTTGTGAAACCCTCCAATTTTGCAAATGGTGGAGACTCAATATCACTCAATTAGCTATTACTCCTGGGACTCCCCATTTTTCTTCCCTTTCTCTTTATTTTTATTTTTATTTATTTATTTGAGACGGAATCTCACTCTGTCTCCCAGGCTGGAGTGCAATGGTGCAATCTTGGCTCACTGCAACCTCCGCCTCCTGGGTTCAAGCGACTCTTCTGCCTCAACCTTCCCAAGTATCTGGGACTACAGGTGCCTGCCACCACACCCAGCCAATTTTTGTATTTTTAGTGGAGACAGAGTTTCACCATGTTGGCCAGGCTAGTCTCGAACTCCTGACCTCAGGTAATCCACCTGCTTCAGCCTCCCAAAGTGCTGGGATTACAGATGTGAGTCACTGCACCTGGCCCCCTTTTTCTAGATTACTCTGTGTATGTGTGTGTGTGCGTGCGGGGGTTGTGTGTATGACAGAGAGAGGAGACAGAGACAGAGACAAGCAGCAGAGATGAAGTGGGGGAGGAGGACAGCAGAACAGGATCACGGAGAGGCTTTTTCAAGACACAAATATCTGGGCTCCACCCGATCTACTGAATCAGAGATTCACATCCAGATTAGATCAATAGGCAGTGCCATTGCTAATCAACAAGGAGGCCTATATTATCACCGGAAATTTAGCAAACCATGGAATAGTTTTAAACCAGAATTCCTGAGAGGTAAAAAGCTCATTTGAAATATTTCACCAAACTACTTGGAGTGTTGGCTTGCGGGGGCAGGAAGGGAGGAGGAGGAGTGAGAGTGAAAAGGGACTCAAAGAGACATTCATGGCGCATTCAGAAATAACAATGATCACTAAAGTCCTTCATCAGAGAGAGGACCCAATGATCTGCAGTTTTGTTGTTGGTGGTGGTGTTTTTTTTTTGTGTGTGTGTGTGTGTGTGTAAAATCTGGGGATGAAACTAACCTGCCATACTAACAAAGGTAAGGTTGAGGCTATTATCAACTGTTTTCATTTTTCACCTCCTCAGCAGCAGCAGCAGCAGCAGCATCCTTTCAAAAAAAAAAAAAGAGGGAGGGGGATGCTCAATAATATCACTTTAGGCACTAATTTATTAGGCTGATCACAATATCAAACTGTGAGCTATTCTAAGACACACATTTATCAGTTTGGATCTAGTTAGGGTTGTGTAGTCTAAAAAGTTCTCCAGGCGATCTGCATTGCAATCTTCCCCGTAAAGGGGAAAACCATGACAGTGATACTTCCTAATATTAATGTGTATACCAGTCGCATGGGCGTTTGTTAAAATGCGCATTCTGAGTCATAGATCTGGGGCTAAGCCAGGGATTCTGTGCTTCTAGCATGCTTTCCGGGTGATACCAAGGCTGCTTGTCTGCAGACCATACATTGCATAGTAAGGCCCCAGAACATCAAATATTCATCTGAACAAAGTAATTTAAATATCCTCAGGTAATTCCGCCTTTTACACACTGTATTCCCAGCTTCAAGGCCTGTAGTTCTTTTTTCTCAGAGGGCCTGGAATTGGAAAAGAGATGAGGAATTAAGAGATCACAGCGGCCTGAGCTGCAAATCCTGCCTAGGAGCACACCTGTCCTTTGAGGCTCATTTCTCTTCATCCTTTTGCCTCTCTGTTTTTAGGTATCAAAGCTTGAAAGAGAGAAGACTCAAGAAGCGAAGAGGATTCGTGAGCTGGAGCAGCGCAAGCACACGGTGCTGGTGACAGAACTCAAAACCAAGCTCCATGAGGAGAAGATGAAGGAGCTGCAGGCTGTGAGGGAGAACCTTATCAAGCAGCACGAGCAGGAGATGTCAAGGACGGTGAAGGTGCGTGATGGAGAGATCCAGAGGCTCAAGTCTGCTCTCTGTGCTCTCCGTGATGGCAGCAGTGACAAAGTAAGGACAGCGCTCACCATTGAGGCCCGGGAGGAGGCCCGGAAACTGTTTGATGCAGAGCGTCTTAAGCTCTTACAGGAAATTGCGGACCTGAAAACGGCCAAGAAGCAGGTGGACGAGGCTCTGAGCAATATGATCCAAGCAGATAAAATCAAGGCTGGGGACCTTCGGAGTGAGCATCAGTCCCACCAAGAAGCCATCTCGAAGATCAAGTGGGAGTCGGAACGGGATATTCGGAGGCTGGTTAGTACAGTAATCCCATCAGACCCATGTAGAACCCGTCTCTTCCAGGTTTCAGAGTGCTGTGGGATTTGCTTCTTCGTGTGTTTTCTTGTCAGTGGATTGTAAACAGTGCCTACCTTTTGTCCAGTGCTCTATCCAAGATAGCTCAGTATGTAGGTAGGTAGATCAATAGAGAGATATGCTCCGGCCAAAATTGATATTGTAAAGTGTAAGAGATTTTGGAAATCACCTTTCTCATAAAAACTGGATTCTCCAAGGACCATATATACAGAAAGTATCTCCAAGGACCATATATATGGAAAGGACTCCTGTTTCCTTAGATATTTATAAAAATATTATAAATCATGGATTCTTCTAAAGTCAGCATGTTTTTGTGGGCTTTTCCTTTACAGAGTTTTATGGTTTCTTTGTTTGTTTTTATAGAGGGTAGGAGAAGTTTCTATGACTTTCATGATGTCTGAAAACGGCAGCTACTGAGAACATCTTGAGTCTTTTTTTTTCCAAAAACCGTGACTGAAAAAAGATACAAAACTATAAAATCCCTAGTCATTTTAAACATAGATATTTTTCCCAAAGTATACAGGAGTCATTTAAAACAGGAGGCATTATAATTTTTAAATTGTCATCCCTAAGTAGGTTGTTTGCTATTTATAGTTTCTAAGACTTACCTCAGCCCCTACAGAGTTGGTCTTTCCTTCTAACATGTTTGACCAAAAACCAGATAGGCCTCTCACTATGCTTAACTATAATACAAATATAATTATTACATGAAAATTAAATGTCCTAGGTTGACCTGGTTTAATTATTTTAGACCAAAAAAATTTATGTTCATCTGCATTCAGATGTTTAGCATCTGTTACATCTTACTTTAATGTTATCACATCAACTATCACCTGTTAGAATGTACTTTATGTTTCTCTGGAAGTAAGGTTTTTTTCATGAAAAACTACACTTTTACTTTTTTGTCTTCCAGTTCTAAGCAATTACTTTCTGAGAATTCTAATTATGTTCCTTGGGTGATATCTCTAGGCTTTTAATTTTAAGTTCAAAGTGGTTACCACAGAGCATTTTTAAAAGTTAATGCTTAATTTTCTTTGTACTGCAATACAGTGTAACTGTAAAATATTGCCTTTGCCACATTTTCTGAATTCTTTATGTCAACTCATTCTATTGCACTGTTTGACAATAAAGACCAAACACAGTGCAGAAATATTGGTCTCTGCCCTGCCTTTGGTTTTTGAAACGACAGTGGCTGATGAAGAATCAGGACTTCGAACTCTGGAGCTGGCAGGTAAGTATCCAATGAAAAGGCAGCTTTGCATTAAGTATTTTCATTTGTTGACGGTTTTCAATATAAAGTCTATAAGTATATCCACTTGATCTGCTAATTTTTTCCACGACTTCCTTTCACCGGCATATTGCCGAAGTAGGCATGAAATCCCTCTTAATAGCAACGTGAAGGGGAGGGGCCAAGATGGCCGAATAGAAACAGCTCAGGTCTGCAGCTCCCAGCGAGACTAACACAGAAGGCGGGTTATTTCTGTTTTTCCAATCGAGGTACCAGTTCATCTCACTGGGACGGGTTTGGCAGTGGGTGCAACCCACAGGGAATGAGCAGAAGCAGGGTGGGGTGTCGCTTCATGTGGGAAGTGCATGCAGCCCGGGGACCTCCTTCCCCCAGCAAAGGGAAGCAGTGAGAGACTGTGCTACCTGCCAAAGGTACTACGCTTTTCCCATGGATATTTGCGATCCACGGATCAGCACATTCCCTCATGAGCCTACACCACCAGGGCCCTGGGTTTCAAGCACACATCTGGGCAGCTGTTTGAGCAGGCACTGAGCTGCAGGATTTTCTTTTTTTCATACTCCAGTGGCGCCTGGAACTCCAATGAGTCAGGACCACCGTCCAATCTCCTGGAAAGGGGGCTGAAGCCAGGGAGCCAAGCAGTCTCACACAGAGGGTCCCAGTCCCACTCCCATGCTCCCATGGAACCCAGCAAGCTAAGAAACACTGGCTTGAAATTCTCACTGCCAGCACAGCAGTCCAGAGTCAGCCTGGGATGATCGAGTTTGGTCGGGGGAGGAGTGACCATCATTACTGTGGCTTTAGTTGGCAGTTTTCCCCTGACAGTGCTAACGAGACTGAGAGTTTTTTTGGACTGGGTGGAATTCACCAGAGCGGCTGTGACCAGACTGCTTCTCTAGAGTCCTCCCCAGTAGGCAAGGTCTGTCTGCAGGAAATCCAGCAGCTCCATTCAGGGGCTTACAGACAGGACAGTCATCTCCCTGGAACACGGCACTTGAGGGGAAGGGCGGCTGTGGTAGCAGCTTTGGCGGATTTAATCTTTCCTGCCTGCCGCCTCTGAAGAGAGTGGCTGATCCTGACAGGGGAGATTCTCCCAGCACAGCGCACCAGCTCTGCTAAGGGACAGTCTGCCTCCTCAAGTGGGTTCCTGACCCCTGTGCCTCCTGACTTGGAGAGACATCGCAGCAGGGGCCGACAGACACCTCACACAAGAGAGCTCTGGCTGGCATCAGGCCAGTCCCCCTCTAAGATGAAGCTTCCAGAGGAAGGAGCAGGCAGCAATCTTTGCTGTTCTGCAGTCTCTCCACTGGTGGTACCTAGGCAGTAAGGGTCTGGAGTGGACCTCCAGCAAACTCCAGCAGACCTGAAGAAAAAAGGCCTGTTTGAAGAAAAACAAATAACAACAAACAAAACTAAAAAAGCAACAACATCAACAAAAAGACCCTCCCACAGAAACCCCATCCAAATGTCATCAGCCTCAAAGATCAAAGGTAGAGAAATCCACAAAGATGAGAAAAAAACAGTGCAAAAACACTGAAAATTCCAAAAGCCAGAATTCCTCTTCTCCTCCAAATGATCACAACAACCATCCAGCAAAGGCACAGAACTGGATGGAGGATGAGATGGACAAGTTTACAGAAGTAAATTTCAGAAGGTCAGCAAATAACAAACACCTGTGAGCTAGAGGAGCATGTTCTAACCCAATGCAAGGAAGCTAAGAACCTTGATAAAAGGTTACAGGAACTGCTAACTAGAATAACCAGTTTAGAGAGAAACATAAATGACCTGGTGGAGTTGAAGAACACAGCACAAGAACTTCGTGAAGCATACACAAGTATGGATAGCCAAATTGACCAAGCAGACGAAAGAATGTCAGAGTTTGAAAACCGTCTTGCTGAAATAAGGTATGCAGACAAGATTAGAGGAAAAAAAAAGGAATGAACAAAGCCTCCAAGAAATATGGGGCTATGTTAAAAGACTGAACCCACAATTGACTGCAATACCTGAAAGAGATGGGGAGAATGGAACCAAGTTGGAAAACACACTTGAGGATATTATCCAGGAGAACTTCTCCAACCTAGCAAGACAGGCCAACATTCAAATTCAGGAAATACAGAGAACACCACTAAGATCCTCCATGAGAAGATCAACACCAAGACACATAATCATTAGATTCTCCAAGGTTAAAATGAAAGAAACAATGTTAAGGGCAGCCAAGGGGAAAGGCCAGGTCACCTACAAAGGGAAGCCTGTCAGACTACCAGCAGATCTCTCAGCAGAAACCCTACAAGCCAGAAGAGAGTAGGGGCCAATATTCAACATTCTTAAAGAAAATAATTTTCAACCCAGAATTTCATATCCAGCCAAACTAAGCTTCATAAGTGAAGGAGAAATTAAATCATTTCCAGATAAACAAATAGTTTATCACCACCAGGCCTGCTTTGCAAGAGCTCCTGAAGGAGGCACTAAATATGGAAAGAAAAAACCAGTACTTGCCACTGCAAAAACACACCAAAATATAAAGACCAATGACACTATGAAGAAACTGCATCAACTAGTGTGCAAAATAACCAGCTAGCATCATAATGACAGGATCAAATTCACACATAACAATATTAACCTTAAATGTAAATGGGCTAAATGCCCCAATTAAAAGATACGGGCTGGCAAATTGTATAAAAATTCAAGACCCATTGGCGTGCTGTATTCAGGAGACCCATTTCATATGCAAAGACACACGTAAGCTTAAAATAAAAGGATGGAGGAAAATTTACCAAGCAAATGGGAAGCAAAAAAAAAAAAAAACAGGGGTTGCAGTCCTAGCCTCTGATAAAACAGACTTTAAACCAGCAAAGATCAAAAAGACAAAGAAGGGCATTACATAATGGTAAAGGGATCAATTCAACAAGAAGAGCTAACTAACCTAAATATACATTCACCCAATACAGGAGCACCCAGATTCATAAAACAAGTTCTTAGAGACCTACAAAGAGACTTAGACTCCTACACAATAATAGTGGGAGACTTTAACACCCCACTGTCCATATTAGACAGATCAATGAGATAGAAAAATAACAAGAGTGTTCAGGACTTTGAACTCAGCTCTGGATCAAGTGTGCCTAGGATAACAGAACTCTCTATTCCAGGTCAACATTCAACATAATAAACATTCTTCTCATGCCGCACTTATTCTAAAGTCAACCACATAATTGGAAGTAAAACACTCCTCGGCAAATGTGAAAGAAGTGAAATCACAACACACAGTCTCTCAGACCACAATGCAAACAAATTAGAACTCAGGATTAAGAAACTTATTCAAATCCACACAACTACATGGAAATCAAACAACCTGCTCCTGAATGACTACTGGGTAAATAACAAAATTAAGGCAGAAATCAGGAAGTTATTTGAAAACAATGAGAACAAATAGACAATGTACCATAATCTCTGGGACACAACTAAAGCAGTGTTTAGAGGGAAATTTGTAGCACTAAATGCCCACATCAGAAAGATGGAAGGATCTAAAATCAACACCCTAACATCACAATTAAAAGAACTAGAGAAGAAAGGGCAAACAAATACAAAAGCTAGCAGATGACAAGAAATAACTAAGATCAGAGCAGAACTGAAGGAGATAAAGACACCAAAAAAACCCTTGAAAAAATCAATGAATCCAAGAGCTGGTTTTTTGAAAAAATTAACAAAACAGACCACTAACTAGACTCATAAAGAAGAAAAGAGCATGCCAAATAGACACAACATTCCCTTTGAAAACCAGCACAAGACAAGGATACCCTCTCTCACCACTTCTAGTCAACATAGTATTGGAAGCTCTGACCAGGGTAATCAGGCAAGAGAAAGAAATCAAGCATATTCAAATAGGAAGAGAGGAAGTCAAATTATCTCTGTTTGCAGATGACGTGATTCTATATTTAGAAATCCCCATCATCTCAGCCCAAAACTCCTTAAGCTGATAAGCAACTTCAGCAAAGTCTCAGGATACAAAAATCAATGTGCAAAAATCACAAACATTCCTATACACCAACAATAGACAAGCAGAGAGCCGAATCATGAATAAACTCCCATTCACAGTTGCTACGAAGAGAATAAAATACCTAGGAATACAGCTTACAAGGGACATGAAGGACCTCTTCAAGGAGAACCACAAACCGTTGCTCAAGGAAATAAGAGAGGACACAAACAAGTGGAAAAACATTCCATCCTCATGGATAGGAAGAATCATCATCATGAAAATGTCCATAATGCCCAAAGTAATGTATAGATCAACACTATTCCCATCCAACTACCATTGACACTCTTCACAGAATTAAAAAAAAAACAAAAAAACAAAAAAAAAACTACTTTAAATTTCATATGGAACCAAAAAGAGCCTGTATAGCCAGGACAATCATAAGTAAACAGAGCTGGAGGCATCACACTACCTGACTTCAAACTCTACTACAAGGCTACAGTAACTAAAACAAGATAGTACTGGTACCAAAACAGATATATAGACCAATGGAACAGAAGAGAGGCCTCAGAAATAACACCACACATCTACAACCACCTGATCTTTGACAAACCTGACAAAAACAAGCAGTGAGGAAAGGATTCCCTACTTAATACATGGTGCTGGGAAAACTGGCTAGACATATGCAGAAAACTAAAACTGGACCCCTTCATTACACCTTATACAAAAATCAACTCAAGATGGCTTAAAGACTTAAATGTAAAACCCCAAACCATACAAACCTTAAAAGTAAACCTAGGCAGTACCATTCAGGACATAGGCATGGGCAAAGACTTCATGATGAAAACACCAAAAGTAATTGCAACAATTGGCAAAATTGACAAATGGGATCTATTTAAACTAAAGAGCTTCTGCACAGCAAAAGAGACTCGCATCAGAGTAAACAGACAACCTATAGAATGGGAGAACATTTTGCAATCTACCCTTCTGACAAAGGTCTAATATCCAGAATCTATAAGGAACTTAAACAAATTTACAAGAAAAAGCAAACAACCCCACCAAAAAGTGGGCAAAGTGTATGAACAGACACTTCTCAAAATAAGACATTTATGTAGCCAAGAAACAAACAAACAAAAAGTTCATCATCTCTGATTATTTGAGAAATGCAAATAAAAACCGCAATTGGATACCATCCAACACCAGTCAGAATGGCAATTATTAAAAAGTCAAGAAACAGTAGATGCTGGTGAGGCTGTGGAGAAACAGGAACACTTTTTGCACTGTTGATGGGAATGTAGACTGGTTCAACCATTGTTGAGGACAGGGTGGTGATTCCTCAGGGATCTACAACCAGAAATACCTTTTGACCCAGCAATCCCATTACTGGGTATACATCCAAAGGAATATAAATCATTCTACTAAAAGACACATGTACATGTATGTTTATTGCAGCATTATTTACAATAGCAAAGACATGGAACCAACCCAAAGGCCCATCAGTGATATAGACTGAATAAAGAAAATGTGGTACATATACACCATGGAATACTATGTAGCCACAAAAAAAGAATGAGTTCATGTCCTTTGCAGGGACATGAATGAAGCTAGAAGCCATCATCCTCAGCAAACTAACCCAGGAACAGAAAACCAAATACTGCATGTTCTCGCTTATAAGTGGGAGTTGAACAGTTGGAACACATGGACACAGGGAGGGGAACATCACACACGGGGGCCTGTCAGGTGGTGGGGGGAAGGGGAGGGCGAGCATTAGGACAAATACCTAATGTATACGGGGCTTAAAACCTAGAGGACTGGTTGATAGGTACAGCAAGTCACGATGGCACATGTATACCTATGTAACAAGCCTGTACATTCTGTACATGTATCCCAGAACTTAAAGTAAAATTAAAATTAAAAAAAGTAAAATCTGAGCCACCTGATGAGTAGTTCACAAACTGCATGAACACAGAATAACGTAGGAAACTTTTTCGATAACACAGATATACTCGTCTTCATTTTTTCCTTCTTTTTGCTCTGTGACTACCTCTACCCCGAGCTCCATTTTTGGAACCGGAAGGGAGAGAAATGGGAGTTGTCCTGCCTAGAAAATTTCCCCAGAGAATTCTGGTGTATACCCTTTCCCATCTAAGTTGGGCTTTGGTTGATTTTCAGTATTTTGAGATCAGAGTCCATGCTCATAACCACTGTGCAATAAAGCTTTCTCAATACTAATTAATATATATCCCACAGGAAACCACTTTGGGAAATGCTTAAAGTATATGAACAATCTTAAAGCCAGTACAGCATAGTACCTAACAGAATGGGCTCTGTGGTTAGATGATTCCATTAAAAGTAAGGCTTCACAACTTACTAGCCATATGACTATGACCAAGTTTTCAAGCTTTCAGGTCTTCACCGATCACCTGTAAAATGATGACGACTGAACCTACTGAATAAGATTGTTATAAAATAAGGTATATTAAGCTCTGAGTATAGTACCCTGAATACAGTGAAAGATCAATAAATTTCAGCTATGATGATGGTGATGATGAGGCTGAATGTGGGCAGTAATGGGATGATTTCTCAACAAGTTTAGCAAGGTAAGTACATAAAAATCAACTAGAGCTATGTTAACTCATAAAAAGTAACTAGAGCTATGTTAACCTGCAAATAAAAGCAATGCTCCAGATGACAAGTCTGACAAATGAACATGCTTCTCAGTTAAGAAAAACACTGGTCTCAAATCTTCTATAAGGAGACAGAAACCAAAGACAATGCTATTATTCCCAGTTAACAATAATAATAATGCTATTATTCCCGGTTGATTTCTTACCCAGTTATCAGATGATATTACAATATCATGCAGAATTTAGCCCAAAGTTCTCTCAAAATTGACCTAAAATTTAAGCAAGTGACTCGAAGGCAATAGCTCACAGATATTTAAATGGAAAATACGTGACTGTAACACCATTTCTATTACAAATATTTTTTTGTGGCCTAAGAGCACACAGCAAAGAAAAATTTATACAAAATTATTTGTTTTGCATAAGGAGACACTTTCAGAAAAAGCAAAACAGCATAATGTTGTCTGTATTAAATGTCTTTTCCTTATCTCCATTTTGAATGTACACACAGAATATAGTGAAATGAGAAGAAAGGTTTCACCCAATGGCTATGCTTTCTTTAAAAATTGTTTATAGACATTCACTTCATTAGCCCTCATCCTAGGATGGCAAAAAGGTTTCATTCCAAGAGAACTCAAATCAACTGGTAGTGAATGCCTATAGCCTTTAGTAGAGAAATCCTTCTGAGGCCATGCCCAGGCTTAGCAGAAATGCATATTGGGGTCAATAAATATATCCCACACCTGTGGGAGGGAAAGTAGTGGTTAATATTGCCAGATATTTTCTATTCCTGTTAATCCCAACCATGATTTTCTCATGGTAATGGTAAAATGGTTGCTAAGAACTGGCTGCTCTGAAATACAAGTGAGGATATAAAGAGATACAACACATGAACCGTGGAAGGACCTCCCTCCAAATCCATCACCTGAATGCAAGCATGTTAGTCTTGGAAAATGACTAGGCCACTGGGAGGTCTGAAGTTTCTTCAGTTACAAATGACAAGCTATTAACAGCAGCAACAGCTATTTTGATTGAATTTGGATACCCATTTGCCTAAAGAAGAAGTGACGTCAAAAAATGTCCTAGGAAACGTTATATGGAATATTTAGTGTTCATCTTTATTAAAATGAATGGCCATTTTAAAGTTAGACTTTCCTTTGCATATCTAATTAATCCAGACTATTTCAAACAATATATTGAATCGAAACATCTTCACAGGATATACTAGAGAGAAAAAAATTACTCTCCTTGACACCTGGTTAACCCAGGATATTTCTTCACTACACAGTGTTGCCTCATCTTACTTATGAAACCAATGCACTTGTCATATCCATGATTTTTTTCTGTATCAATCAGATGAAAAAAGTTAAACTCATACCATTGTAAAAATGTACTTCTTTACAGCATTGTTAAATAAAATGTCCTGGGTCTCATTTAATTCAGATGGATGAAATCAAAGCCAAGGACAGGATCATCTTTTCCCTGGAAAAGGAACTGGAGACCCAGACAGGCTATGTACAGAAACTCCAACTTCAGAAGGAGGCTTTGGACGAACAACTGTTTCTGGTCAAGGAGGCTGAGTGCAACATGAGCAGCCCAAAACGAGAAATTCCAGGAAGGGCAGGTGATGGTTCCGAACACTGCAGCAGTCCTGTAAGTCCTTTCTACTTGAAGTTAAGAACACATAAGTCATCTTTTATTTAGCTCCCAAGTTTTACCTTTTACTTAAGCTCTTTTCTTGTTTACTACAAAGAAATCAATCTACCTCCTACTATAAAATCAGCTAGTGTCTTGGGAACAGGGTTTTCTAAACTCATAGACGACTAAGTGGTCTGCAGTACATTAGCAGATCACATGAGACAGATTTCTTTAAATCCTTCCTAGAATTTTTCTAGCCAGGGAATACCTATCCAAACTTAAGTCTATTATGAGAAACATAAATTAGATGAAAATATTTTGCCTCTTGCCTACACTGGTAATTTTCCCTTTTGTGAACAATTGGGTTGGAAATTGATAAAGATGATTGTCATCTACAGGGGTCAAAATGTATAACTGCATAAAAGACAAAACCATGTATAATCTTCATCTGAAGACTTATTGTCTGATAGAACTTACCACTTATTTCCATGGGTTTTCATCATTTTATATGAGAAATTATTTTCAGAAGTGTGGCAATAGAAATGGGCTTATATGCAGTTGGCTATAACTCTTATACCTTTCCAATTATTTAGCTGCTATAATGATGGAAATGTATTATTTAGGAACAGAGGTGGGTTCCAAAGTACTACTTAGAACTAAGTAATGAATAATTTATGAATTGATATTCAGAACAAGTATATATATATACACACACACACACATATATATGTATATAATCTTAGTAAGTGGTGCAAAGAGTACTTATTTAGGATTTAGCAGTTTCTGTAAGTTTTAGTTCTGACACTGACAGGTACCCACAATATAGAATACTTGTCAAGAGAATGGGCTCTAGAGTCAGACTCTTTGCTTCAAATCCCAAATCTGCCATTTACTGTGTGTCCTTAGGCAAACCACTTCACCATTCAGTTTCCTCATCTGTAAAATAGAAGCTATCGTGGTACCTCATAAGGCTGGTCTAAAGATTAGAAGAGATAATATGTAAAATGTTAAGCATGGTGTCTGGCACATAGCACTTAATACATATTAGTTAATGATCTTTTGACATTAGCCACAAGACCTTAAAGGAGTTATTACCTACCTGAATCTTACCTGTTCTGCTGAATCCTTTAGGGTATCATGAATGTAGGAATATAACGTGTTCAAAACTACTTTGTCAACAGTATAGCATTATCGAAATGTAAGATGATCATGTAATTGTTGACATATGATAATAACAGTCCTATATAATTCTAAAACATGAAATTAAGCCATGAGTGCCCTGTGTAAGGTAATTCATAGCCATTCTGCCAGTGGAGAAGCCAGTTGCATTGCACAGAATATACTAGCGAGGTCTATCCTATAAACTACTGCCCTTTATACATGAAGGTAATACACCATTTTCTCACTTTGACCTTTTTCTTCAGGAGTATGAAGAAATTGACAATATTCATCCCTACCTCCTAATCTCTCCCCTCTGTGGCTAATGGTAATAGCAGGACAGCTATGTAAGCTGTGGGAAGCAAAGTGTGGCTATGACACAAGGGATGCCCTTTGAACTTTATGTAATCACAGCATGACCTTGGTCTCGTAGCACACAGCTCTGATAAGTTGATCCAACCCTCTACACTCTCCCTGCCCTGAGTCCTGGCTCCAGGGAGTATCTGCCACATGGAATTCATTTGCAATTACAACCTAGCGTGGTAGTCAACCCAAGTGGTGAATATTGAGAGTTATAAAAGGGTAAATATTATTATATTCTCTTTGGATAAGAGAAGATTTTATTCTGTCTTCAGGAGCCAGATAAGAGAACTGAGGCTATTACTTTTATGAATAATAAGTGATATTCCCAAACTTTGTGAAAAGTGTTGTTGAAGAAATCCCATTTTAATTTTTCTTTGTAGGATTTGCGAAGAAATCAAAAGAGAATAGCTGAATTGAATGCCACTATAAGAAAGTTAGAAGACAGGAATACCTTGCTTGGAGATGAACGAAATGAACTGGTGAGATATACTAAAAATTTTTATTGTTGTTGTTAAGTATTATGTTACAGAATTACATACTATGTTATAGGTATGTACCATAGTAAAGTGTTCAAATAGTAAAGATACCATTCAATAGATATTCACAAAGTGGCACACTCAAAAATCCACCATCCAGATGAATAAATGGAAGAATACCAGCATCTCACACCCCTGCTTCTTGTGACCCCTCCCAATCAGCATCCTATTAAACTTACCACTATTCTGACTTCAATCACCGTAGATGTCTATCACCATTTAAAATTTTTTTGTAAATGAAATCATACAATCTTTTCTCCTTTTTGTCTGACTTCTTCTGCTTCTTTTACTCAGCCTTGTTTGTGAGATTTATCCATTATGTTGCATGGAGAATTCATTCATTTTCATTTCTCTATAGCATTCAAATAATATATCACAATATACTTATCCCCATTATTGTTAATGGACATGTATGTTGTTTCTTAAAACTTCTGAGCTGTTTTGAGAAGAACAGTGCTTCTACATGTTGTTTGTAAAAAAAAAAAATAGGCCCATTTCTGGTGGAATATACAGAGGAGTAGAATTACTGGATGTTAGAGTATGGATGTCGTCAGCATCAATAGTTACTACCAAACAGTAAGTTGTCACAACTCCCACCAATAATGAATGAAAGTGGTAGTTTCTCCATATCTTTGCCAACATACAAAGATAATTGTTAGTCATGTTGGTGGATGTAGGGCATACTCTTACATCTTACATTATGGTTTTAATTTTCCTCATTATTAAGAAGGTAGGGTAACTTTTCAAATATTTACTAGCCTTTCAGATACAATTTGCCCTTAGCCTTTTGCCCATTTTCTGTTATGCTGCCTTTACTGTTTTAGTTACTATTAGGATTTTTTAAATCATCACTTGTGGTACATTTGCATATAAAATATCTTGCTCTATGGCTTACATTTTTGTTTTTAATAGAGCTATTCATATAAAAGTTATTTACAGCCTTTCCTTTTTTTCAAATACATGCATTTTAGGCTGTAATTGACCCTCTAAACCTTGCTTTAGTTTAGTATATTGTTATTTCATTCAAAAATTTTTCTAATGTCATGTAATGTTTCCTTTGATACATGGGTCACTTAGAAGTATATGGCTTAATTTCAAAACATTTAGAGATTTTTTAGTTATCTCTCTGGTATCAATTTCTTCCTTAATTCTACGATAGTCAGAGAATGTACTTTGTATATTTCATTCCTTCAAGATTTGTTGAGATTTGCTTTATGACCTCAGCATACAGTCAATTTTAGAAATGTTACATGTTTACATGAAAGGGAGGCATACTCTGTAATTATCAGTTACAGTTTGATTGAAGTTTGTTAATAATCTTGTTTAAAATTATCTCAATTCTTACTGATATTTTTGTCTGCTTCTTTTCCCAATAGATTTGTCTATATCCTTCTGAGTTCTTTCAGTTTTACTTTATATATATAGAACAATAATATATATTTATAATATATAATATATTAAAAATTAGGTTACTAGGTGAATATAAATTATTGTTATTAATTTGTTATAAATTATAACAAATTTATAACAATTATTAATTTGTTAATGATTTGTTATTAATTTATAACAAATTAATGATTTGTTATTAATTTTTTGTGTGTATTGACCCTTTAATCATTATGCATTTTTTTCCCTCTGGTAATACTTCTTGGCTTAAAGTCATTGTTATTAGTTGAACTGTATCAGATTTTTGTTTTAGTGTTAGCCTGAATATACATGTGTGTGTGTATATATATGTATTTATAACTATATAGACATACATATATGCATACATATTTACACATACGTATATAAACACACACTGTTTTTCAACCTTTCTGTGTTTTATTTAAGGTGTAGATTAAAAGGAACATTCTGTTTGGTATTGTGGGACTGTGGTTATTGATGTATGATGTGATAGAATTATAGATATTTTCTGTATGCATATCTGAATTTTCTATGAATACTATTAATAAGTAAATATAAATATTTAAAACTCACATAATTGACCTTCAGAAGAGACAGGTTAAAAAAGTGAACCTAGTAGAATAACTTATTTTCCTTTTATGTATACAATATTTAATATTAATGCTTCAGGCACTAAGGACTAAGGCATTAATGCTTCAGGACTAAGTCAGATTATTTATAAAAATGAATCCAGTTTTGGCGTTTAATATGAAATGGAGTTCTTAAATTGAGATTGAGATGGATTTGTGGAAGTGCTGCTTAAGAATCATAAGATGAGATTTTACTAATATTCATAATTAGCTAAATCTACCTCAGCACTTCCCAAAATCTTAGACGCTCAAGAACGGAGTGAGTACTTTTAAACGTCTTCTCAAATATTTCTGATACAGCCCTCCTTTTTCCTTGCTCTTCTCCCAATACATATTCACATTCAGAATCATTAGTAAGAAAAGAATAACCTAATCATGAGAAGCTGAAAATGGAAATCTATTATGTATAGGATAATCATGAAATATACAAAAAGGAGAATTTTAAGAGTAAAGGGGAGGACTATTAGCAATCCCCTCAAGACAATTTTCATAAACTTAGACCAGTGGTTCCCAACTACAGGCGATCTTGACAGTATCTGATGTTTTTGATAGTCACAATTAGCAGAGTGTTACTGGCATCTAGCAAGCAGAGGCCAGGGATGCTGCTAAACATCCTCCAATGCACAGGCCACCTCACATCAAAAAAAATCTGGCTCAACATGTCACGGATGCTAAGACTGAGAAACCCTGCTTTAGACTAACCAAGCAAAAGAGCGTATGCTCACTCTTAATTAGGGGTGGATAACAATACAATCATACTTTACTAAGCTTGGGGAGAATTCGACATCCTTACACAAACATCCATAGAGTTTCAAACTTACGTGTGGTTTTTTCCTCAATAAAATTTCTTTTAAACTAACAACCGTAGTGCGAGTCAGGAGATTTCCACAAGGTCTCTGGAAGAACGACCTTTGGCGATAACCAGGCTTGGATTCAGGTCCTGGCCGCATTACTTAGTGACCGTGTGGTCTGAGTGAGCTCCTTTATCTCTGAGCTAATGGAGGTCATTCCAGGTGCAGGGATTGCAGCTGAGCATGGTGGAGTAACAGGTGAGGGTAGCGAAAGAAAATAAGGAGAGCAGGTCCTCCCGAGCATTTCCAAAACCAGTCTCTTCAGTACTTTCCTTAGGACAGTGGATTGATAGGAGGTCATGAAGGCTGTGATGAAAAGCCATTAGAGAAAACTGAAAAGAAAGCAATCAGTCTGTTGAAGGATTGAAATGTCAGTGGTCAGTCCTGAGCCACACAGTGAAGCAGACAACACTGGCTGCAGAGGTGCTTTCACTCCCACCCGTTTACTCCCCTGCCCCCATGTCCCCCAAACACAAGACACAAATCTTCACTATTTCTTCCCAGTTAAAACGCGTGCGGGAAACCGAAAAGCAATGTAAACCTCTCCTGGAAAGGAACAAGTGCCTCGCCAAGAGAAACGATGAACTGATGGTGTCCTTGCAGCGCATGGAAGAAAAACTAAAAGCCGTTACCAAGGAAAATTCAGAAATGGTGTGTATCACAGACTCTGCAAAACTGCAGCTTCCTTGATTGTATTACCCTAATAACCTGACTTATTGCCATTTCTCAGCTTATTTTAAAAATGCAATGCTATTTGGATTTTTCCTTATGTAAGCAAGGAAGCCTTAACGAAGAAAGCAAGAGAAGGTTGCTGGCTCTGAGTTTTATGAGGTTTCTATATTTGCAAAACTGTAGGAGTGCTTCCAGGAATTTGCACGCCTTCCAAAAGCTCGGAAATGGATAAGGAAAGCTTTGATATAACTTAGCCACAGAAACCTTCCACGACTTCACTAACATGCTATTTACAGACCTATACCCCAGGCACACTTGTCTTCTAAGATCGTGCATGATAGTTGGGAAATACATACCATTACTTGTGTTATATATGGACAAGTGAAATGCTAATGTACTCCTTAATAGACTTTCAGTACATCTATAGAGATCTTCAGATAATCCCCAATGATATTGACTTATTATTGCAGATAAAATGTGCTTGAGGATTTTGTCGGTGTGTGTGTGTATTCAGGCTGGGCAATTTCCAAATTTAGCTGGAGCCTCATAAACTTTCTACAGATATTTTATGTTAACAACCAAAGTTGGCGGTTTTTAAAGTCTCCACCTGTACTTTCTTCTTTTCCTATCCAGAGAGAAAAAATAACATCCCATCCACCCCTGAAGAAATTAAAATCTCTGAACGACCTCGACCAAGCTAATGAAGAACAAGAAACAGAGTTTCTAAAACTTCAGGTCATTGAGCAACAGAACATAATTGATGAGCTCACAAGGGTACGTGTCAATCAATCTGTAAACCCTAAGTTGTTCCCAAGGACAAGTAGCCAACAAAATGTACACTGAAAGCAGTTAATTTTAGATTAACTCCAGAGGCCCAAGTTCATATGTTCAATATGTAATTTTGTTCTAGAGCCTGTATGCCAATATTTTATATTGTTCAACTGCTTTACACCTTTTACATTATAATCCTTCGTTAACTAATTTGGTAGCACAAATAATAACAGCAAAACACATTAAAAGAACCTTTAAATGCATTGTTGTATAAGTTTGTAGGTAGGTTGGGTGTGTCTTGTAATTGTCTTCCAGTAGCAGGATCCTGAAGCTCAGAGATTTAACATGTTGTCTATGCTAACAACATCACATATACATCTTGTTTCCCAGGTCTCAATTCAGTATCTAGCACATAGTTACAGTTTAAGAAATATTTATTGGATAAACAGCAACAAAATAATTACATAACAGAGCTAAAATTTCAGCCCAGATTTTCTGATCATTACTTCAGTACCTGCTGAGTGGGTAGAGCAGTTATTACTTCCGTCAGAGTTTGGCTGAGGCCGGGCGCGGTGGCTCAAGCCTGTAATCCCAGCACTTTGGGAGGCCGAGACAGGTGGATCACGAGGTCAGGAGATCAAGACCATCCTGGCTAACACGGTGAAACCCCGTCTCTACTAAAAAATACAAAAAAATAGCCGGGCAAGATGGCGGGCGCCTGTAGTCCCAGCTACTCGGGAGGCTGAGGCAGGAGAATGGCGTAAACCCGGGAGGCGGAGCTTGCAGTGAGCTGAGATCCGGCCACTGCACTCCAGCCTGGGTGACAGAGCGAGACTCCGTCTCAAAAAAAAAAAAAAAAAAGGATGCACTGAGACCTCTAGATGCCTTTGGGTTTTCTTCTTTGCCTCTCCATGTTTGTTCTGTGAATGACATCATTGGTTGCTCTCACTTCAGGACCAAGTCCAGATCTAAAGAGTTGAATAGCAAGGAGGGAGTTAGGCAATAGTCTCCAGAGTGGGGTGAGAAAAGTGATTCACTGCCACTGAGAGAAAGAAAGGTTATAGCTTCTGTTTATAATTACTTCTGATTCATCCCTTTTAAAAATTTAAAAATTTCATTATAACTATATGTTATAATGAATACACTAGATTAGGAGGGTAATTTAAATATATAATTGTATTAGGGTTCTCTAGAGGGACAGAACTAATAGGATAGATGTCTATATAATGGGGAGTTTATTAAGGAGTATTGGCACACACGATCGCAAGGTGAGGTCCCACGATAGGTCATCTGCAAGCTGAGGAGCAAGGAAGCCAGTCCAAGTCCCAAAGCTGAAGAACTTGGAGTCTAATGTTCCAGGGCAGGAAGAATCAGGAGAAAGATGTAGGCTGGGAGACTAAACCAGTCTAGTCTTTTCACGTGCTTGTGCTTGCGTTTATTCTGGCTGTGATGGCAGCTGATTAGATTGTGCCCACCCAGATTGAGGATGAGTCTACCTTTCCCAGTCCACTGACTCAAATGTTAACCTCCTTTGGCAACACCCACATAGACACACCGAGGAACAATACTTTGTATCCTTCAATCCAATCAAATTGACACTCAATATTAACTGTCACAATTATATGTAAATTGTAAAAGTCTCATATGTAGAGGCTGCATTTTTACTTATAAGGGTGAAAAAATAAAAAAGCCTGAACACCACTAGCTTAAACCAGATTGCTTATTAAGCGTGGTCTCCCTGTTTTCTTCATTTCGTTTTCACATCCTAATAACTCATAAATTTTACAGATTCATGAGCCCAGGAATTTGCCTGGCTTTGAGTATCCTGAGATTAAGCTGTAAATTTTTTTATAGAATTTTGGGCTATTTAGGCATACTCATCAGACTTTCCAAAAGACACTCTATCTAGTTTAAATTTTTACAGTAAACACATGGAGTGCTTAGTGAATACACCCCAGATTCCCAGGATATCTCCATTCACAGCAACAATAAATCATGAAATTGATCAATATTTCTAGGCATTCTTTGAGATTCCCAGAAAATTTTTTAAAAACTGAAAACAAAACAGAAGCACTAAATGACTCCAACCCACTAGCGACTCTGTTCCCTGTCCTATTTTCAGGGACTGCAGGTGAGAACAAGGATCCAAAAATAGGCCAAAGACAGCTTTCTATGCATTTCAAATGACTAAATGAAAAGAATACGGTTTTACTTTATTGTGAAATTATATATTTAACACAAATTTAAAGTAATTTTGGATGTAGCAGGACTAAAGTACTGTACTTTGGACTAAAGTACAGAAGTAAAGTACTAAATGTACAGTACTAAAGTACTATACATTTTTTTAGAAGTCTAAAAATGATTCTGTTGTAAATTTTAACCTGAAAGTGTTTGTTTTAATATGACTTTCTCTAAATGGAGATACCCCTAGGTTTGATGTAGAAAGGATTACCTGACGAGTTGGAGAGTCATATTCGAGAAATGTACATGATAAGTACATGATAAGTAACTATTTTCATAGCTACTTGATGTTCAAGTATAAAACAAAGAATTCTGATTAGGAACACAGTACACTTTCTGATCATGAGGCTCCTTGTTCCACATAAATCATCAAGAATAGTTGTAGAAGATTCTTATTTTGAATATATTTAAGTATCAATCCCAAAAGTTGCCAAAATTTAAAAAGCAAAGTCTTATTCTATTCCAAATATAACGCCTTATGGGAAAAAACACTCTGTCTTTGCAAAAAACTATAAAGCAACATCTACCAATTCTGGATCTGAAAAATATTTCAACTGTTTTCCAGGACCGAGAAAAGCTCATCCGTAGGAGAAAGCATAGAAGAAGTTCCAAGCCAATTAAGGTAATAAGAAATCGAAGTTATCAGGCACTTGCTACAAGCAGCCAGACAGATGAGGCTTGGCATGGCATCTTCCTGCAAGGGTGTGATGAACCAGGTGTTCCCGAACTGTCGCAGCAAACCATGGGCTTCATTTGCTAGAAGAAAATCTTTTCTGTTGACATTTCTTCGAAGTCTAAAAATGATTCCGTTGTAAATTTTAACCTGAAAGGGTTTGCTTTAATATGACTTTCTCTAAATGGAGATGCCCCTAGGTTTGATGTAGAAAGGATTACCTGACGAGTTGGAGAGTCCTATTCAAGAAATGTACATGATTTTGATGTCTCCCACTGAATAGTATGAGAATCTGATGCCCAGTTTATGACAATTAATATATTTTTATTATTCATTCAGACAATATTATTGATAACAATGCTCCCAATCCACCAATATCTCTATAGCCTCTTACAATCCACAAAGTTTTGTTTTCAGTTTGTCTATTTGATTTTTAATTTTGTTTTTACCAAGTATACCATTTGTTTTTAATGTGGACTTGGATGACAAGACTTAAGATTTGATCATCTCTATCACCTGAGTTTTCGAAGTCCTTTGGTCATAGTTTAAATACAGGAAAGAGTAAACCATATTTGCTCATCATGATATAAAATGTAATCTAAAAGAGGCTTCAGTGTTTCTATGAAAAAAGCTAAATATTAATGAATTTTCTTAAGATGTCAGAAGTGAAATAATATGGGAGAAACACTTGTTGGAATTATTATGTTTGTGCCTAATGTTTTTATTTCAGCAAAGAAGCGTAAAGGATCCGTGTCTTCTATATTCACTTACATGTATGCCAGTTGACAGTATTTTAACATTCAACTTTCCCTACTGTTAGCTGTGTCAGTAAATATGTATTTTCCCTCCATGTAGAGGCCTGTTTTAGACCCTTTTATTGGCTATGATGAGGACTCTATGGATTCAGAGACATCATCCATGGCCTCATTTAGAACAGACAGAACACCAGCTACTCCTGATGATGACTTGGATGAAGTAAGCATTTCTACTTCTCTAGCCTTGGGTGATATTGTCACCAAATATTTTATTTAAGGGGGGAGAAAAAGCATTTCACTCTTCATCTCCTTTATATAAACAGCACAAAGTGGTCCCATAATAGTAACCAATTTTGAGGCCGCACTTTGTTATCTCTTGAAAAATAGCTTCACTTACAGCAGGTAAACCTTTTAGAAATTTCTCTCCAGTTCAGCTCTCTAATTGGAAGACTTCTTTCAAAATAAAAGTTACTTTCCAAAATTCTTTATCTAGGGGAGGTAGGAACCCAGGAGGCCTTAGCAGGTTTTTGGATGTGGTCTGAGAGACTGTTGAGTGAAGTGTGCTCTGTGGACCACCCTCATCAGAATGATCTAGAGGCCTCAGTTACAATGAAAATTCGGGGACCCTACCCATGCAACGCCTGACTCGGAATCTTAGGAGTGAAACACCCCAATCTATATTTTTTCCCAAAATTCCGTGTTGATTATGTTATGTCCAGAAGTTTAAGATGTAAAGCAATAAAACAACTTTTATGATTTATCTAGGGGGAAAAAACAAGTTGCTGGAGATGAACATACTGAAAAGAAATAAGAGTAAAATTCTAGGGTATCATTTCCTCAAATTGAGGTCCAAAATCTGGATATGACTTTTTCTTATTTGGATCCAAAATTGATTGCATTCTAAGCCCAAATCATTAACAATGAGAAATGTATCAAATGCTAAATGCTTCTTTTACTAAAATAAATATTTCTGCAGTGTCCATCTTGAAAATATTACAGTATTTGTGCCCATATATACACTTCAGAGCTAAAAACAAAATCAAATAGACTGTTAAACAACATTTTACTTCTTGTAAAAAGTGGGCAAATGTTAATATTTCACATTGAACACGCGACTTGAACATAACACAATTCTTTTGGGGCTTTTTTTCTTAACCTCAAGAGTTTAGCAGCTGAAGAATCTGAACTAAGATTTCGACAATTAACAAAAGAATATCAGGCCCTCCAAAGAGCATATGCCCTCCTACAGGAGCAGACGGGAGGCATCATTGACGCTGAACGAGAAGCCAAGGTTAGTATGGATCTGTGACAGTGTACTGAATTAGCATGCAGCAATCACAGCATAAAAGTACCCTGGCGGATCACGAGGTCAGGAGATCGAGACCATCCTGGCTAACACGGTGAAACCCCGTCTCTACTAAAAAATACAAAAAACTAGCCGGGCGAGGTGGCGGGCGCCTGTAGTCCCAACTACTCGGGAGGCTGAGGCAGGAGAATGGCGTGAACCCAGGAGGCGGAGCTTGCAGTGAGCTGAGATCCGGCCACTGCACTCCAGCCTGGGCGACAGAGCAAGACTCCGTCTCAAAAAAAAAAAAAAAAAAAAGTACCCTGGACATAAAAATATCAATAGGACAGCTTTCCCTGTACTTTTCTCTCATCTGCAGCTTTTGAATTGTTGTAGCTTTTATGTCAACAAACCTTGAATCTAGAAACATTAGAACCAGCTTAGATCAATGCTTTTGTTCTTTCAAAGATAGTTGAGTACATAGTTCTTCTTCTTGCTGTTTGAAAACATACATTTTCAAAGCTAGACAATATTGGATTTTGTTAAGCCATTTTTTCATTTCTTGCTTAGAAAAAGAACTTTTTTATCTTTCAAAACCTATAGTGAGCCAGTGTCTTCTCTTCGTTAATAAGTGCACAGCATTTACTTTTGACAGCTTACCAGAATTTTCACAGACAATATCTCATTTAACCCTTGGGACAGCCCCCTAAGGCAGGTATTTTATAAAAGAGAAATTTGATACTCAGAGAGGTTAATTGAATTGCCCAAAATCACACAAATAGTAAATGGCAAAGCTGATATTACAACGTAAGTCTTACTGGGTCAAATGTTCTTTCCTTTATATCATAATCGCCTCTCATGAGCCTATTTCAACAAAAAGAAAAGATAGACATGTACTATACTACTTCTTAATATTTATTGAGTGCTTGCTGTGTTCCAGGCATTGTGCTGAACACTTTACACACATTATCTATTTAATCCTAAAACAACCCTAGGAGCTAGATATGATTATTATCCTCTTTCTACAGAAGAGGAAATAATAGCTTAGTATAAGTTCAATGTAGCTTAGTGAAGTTAAATTATTTACTTAGGTTTACCTAGGTTTCCTAGCCTTGTGACTTCATAGTCATAATCACCAGGCTATAATTGCCTCCTAGGTAAATTTACTTGAGCCAAAAGGGAGCATGACCACCCAGACCACCCAGTGATTTCATCCTACTTTCTTTCTGGAGAGTCTACAATGCACTGAGGAGTTTTGTAGAACTACTGTTTTTCAGTGGGAAAGGGTAGATATAACAGTTACACATTTTTAAACAGTAGCATGCATACACACATATATTAGTAAATATGCAGGTTTTTTAAAAACACAGATTTAGAACAGGCAAGCAATCATTACAAAGGAATGTGCCTGTAGGCTGTCATGTATATGTCCTAGTGCTATAATATTTGTGTTTAAGTGTTCCTACCAACATGGATTGGGGAGTTAAAATAATAGCATATTATTTTATTTTTATTTTTTGGAGATTCCTCCCAAAAAAGGAGACTCCTCCTTTTATTTTTTGGAGATTCCTCCCTGTTTCACTTAATTCTTCTATCTAAATAAAGGTTTAGCATTATCTCCGGCCATTAAATTAGGAAAAGTTACCATTCTGAGAAAAATCATCTAAAAGAAACAAGGATGTTAGAAAAAGAACAAGAGAGTACATTTAAAGAGACTGGAAATTTAAAAATAATACAGATGAAAGCATCATTGAAAAAAGATAAAATTAGATCCAAGAAAAAATAGGTTACAGTCAACATCAATTCACAGTTAAAATAAATCTTAGTAAAATTAATTATTTTGGGGGCCTGATAAAGGTAAATGTAATATTTAATAATCAAAAGAATTATTCTCACAGTGAACAAGGATAGCTATCATTGCTGTTTTTATTCAACCTTGTACTAAAAAACCTATCCATATTTTAAAACAACAACAAAAATGGGTTTACAGGCAGGAAACAAATTACTAGGCTAAATCACATAGGACAACAAGGTTGCTCCATACAAGATTAGTATTCAAAACTACTTATACACACAGACACACAAAATATGATATATAGAGAGAGACAGAGAGAAATTGATTTGGGGACTTAAATTTAGGCACAAAGTTTGCTCTGAAAGAATGGAAAGGCCAGGTGCACTTTGGGAAGTGGAGGCGGATGGATCTTCTGAGGTCAGGAGTTCAAGACCAGCCAGGCCAACACAGTGAAATCCCATCTCTACTAAAAATATAAAAATTAGCTGGGTGTGGTGGCAGGTGCCTGTAATCCCAGCTACTTGGGAGGCTGAGGCGGGAGAATTGCTTGAACCCGGGAAGCAGAGGTTGCAGTGAGTTGAGATCATGCCACTGCATTCCAGCCTGGGCAACAGAGCGAGACTCTGTCTCAAAAAAAAAAAAAAAAAAAGAATCGAAAGAATTTGGGGAAGCAAAATGGAACAAGGCTTTTGTGAAAGGGAAATCATTCAAATAAAGAGAAGAGTGGAGAGTTACAAGGCATATTTAGGAAACAAGAATTATGTCAGCAGGCAAGGGTTTGACTCTAGGTTGGTGAGTAGTAGGAAAATATTGGAAATATAATGGGAGTTCTTGAATGCCAAGCTAAAGAGTGAATATTAACCTGAAAATAAAGAATGCTACAGGGAGTTTTAAACAAGAATTTAGATCAGAAAGATTCTTTTGTCATAGAAAATTATTCTTTTTTTCCTCTCTCTCTCTCTCTTACTTGTTGAGTTCTAGTCAAGAAAGATATTGAATAACCATTTTACTTGCTGAGTTGTGGAATTTTTATTTCACCAGGCTCAAGAACAGCTTCAAGCAGAGGTGCTAAGGTATAAAGCAAAAATTGAAGACCTGGAAGCGACACTGGCTCAGAAAGGGCAGGTAGGCATTTGGTTGCTAGCTCTTCTGCAGATGCAGACAATTCAATCTGACCTTTCTCTAGCTCACCTGTGCATGGGCCGCACCCAGGACACAGCTTGGCTCTCCACAGTGATCTTTCTCAAACTGCGTTAGAATGTTCAACTCTGTACTTCTGTCCCTGGTGTTTTTCTGGCCAGAGTATGAACCCAGCCACAACAGTGAATGAGGTTGGGCAAGAGAAAGAATGCCAGAGGAAGAGGAACCCTGTACAAATAGCCTAGAGTTGTCTTAAGCTGCTAAGACCAAGACCCACCCCTCTAGCTGTGTTCTTTGCCTCTATGCTACATTTATGGTTCTGCATTTTAATGTTTTCCATCCATATGTATCTAGCCTGTGTGCATTCTGACCCTTTTCACTTTTTGCCTTTGTGGTCACTTCTGAGTCCCCAGAAGGCTGGTCCTGGATTATTCAAACTGGAAAATACAGAAATAGGAAGCGATGATGAAAAGGGGGTTAAATTTTCCTGGCAACTTTGGCCCCAGTGTCTTTGAAGGAGCTGGCAGGGGTGGGTTCTACTTACCAGTCTTTGGCAGGCAAACAAACAGGGTGGGTAGAAGGCAGCTCTGGCAAAGTGGTTTGACGACACAGGCTCTTTCATGCCACTCTGAAATGCTGACTGCGCGATATTCTTTGTCAAACAGGATTCACACTGGGTAGAAGATAAACAACTTTTCATTAAGAGAAACCAGGAGCTTTTAGAAAAGGTATGTTGGGCACAACACCCTAGCGGGGCAAAGGAGAAAATCATGAGAGATCCAGGAGCAGCAGGGGGTGCTCTCAGGAGTGGCACAGGGGCCAGGGGAAGGGGAGGCTTTTTCGGCGCTGCTCTGTCCTCGGCTGCGTGCTCAATCGCATCCCTGTCACCGCCATCACCATCAGTGAAGTGGCACGTGTGCATGGCTCTGCGCTGGGCATTGTGCAGACTTGAAAGGATGTGATCCCTGAAACCTCCTGATTTGCTAACCATATATACATATATACTGTATATATACTGTACATATACACACACACACACACACACACACACACACACGCACATCTTGTATGATTGTTTATCTACAACAAAACCTCTATGAGGGCCAGGGGCGGTGGCTCACGCCTGTAATCCCAGCACTTTGGGAGGCCGAGGTGGGTGGATCACCTGAGGTCAGGGATTCGAGACCAGCCTGGCCAACATGGTAAAACCCTGTCTCTGCTACATACAAAAAATTAACCAGACGTGGTGACGCATGCCTGTAATCCCAGATACTTGGGAGGCTGAGGCAGGAGAATCATTTGAACCTGAGAGGCAGAGGTTGCCATGAACCAAGATTGCGCCATTGCACTCCAGCCCAGGCAACAAGAGCAAAACTCTATCTCAGAAAAAAAACAAAAAACAAAAAATGAAACAAAACAAGCAAACAAACAAACCTCCATGAATAGAACTTGTTATTTTGTGTGAAGAAGTGACAGAGTATGACTCCAACACCATGCCAAAACCCAGCATAGGGTTCGATTCTCACTTTGTCTTTTTATTAACCTTGAGTCTTTCTTTTTTTGTAAATGAAAGATTTTTTTTAGATGAATACTGTTTTTAAAACATAAAACAGTATTCCAGGAAATTACTCAACAAATTAAGAAACAAAAACATGGTTTAGGCTTGAATAGATATAATTAATTTTGGTTATCTGAACATAAAGGCAATTAAACATAATACATTTTCAGTTCAAAGGTGGCTTTTCGTTTGATATTTACCTTCTATAAATCTAGTGAAAGATTTCTCTCTCTCTCTCTCTCTCTCTCTCTCTCTATATATATATATATATATATTTTTTTTTTTTTTTTTTTTTTTGAGACGGAGTTTTACTCTTGTTGCCCAGGCTGGAGTACAATGGCGCAATCTCTGATTGCTTACTGCAACCTCTGCCTCTCAGGTTCAAGCAATTCTCCTGCCTCAGCCTCTCCAGTAGCTGGGATTACAGGCATGTGCCACCACACCCGGCTAATTTAAATTACAGAAAATCTTATATTATGTTTGACAAAAACAGAAATCGAAAGCCCAGTTGTGTAAGGGAAATAATTGTGTAGGTCAATCCAAAGGTATGCAGAAATTATTTTAGAATTGTTTCTATGAATATTTCTTATCCTGGACAAGTAATAAAAATTAACCACAACATCCTGGCTGGCAAGCATGAGAAGGAGAAAAAAGATGCTTGTCCTACCTCCCCTCTAGTCTGGCAAAGTGAAGACATCCTATCTCTTGCTTTGCATGCTGTGAGGCAGAGCTAATGTTCTCATCACTTAGATGTATAGATGATGTATACGTCATATACAGAGTGGGCAGGTATTCAAAAATCGAGAACTGTTGTTTTTGGGAAGGTTAAGGCACCCTATAAAGAAACTGTTGGCATTGAATGAATTACAATCTGTGAACCACTGATCTAATTGTTTCATTAACCACTAGAACCAGCAATCTCCCCAAATATTGCACCATTGATTCAGTAGAAGATTCTAGGAAGTAGAATCTCCTTTATAATCTTAAGTTAACTTCTACAAACTTTTGAAAGTTTACTAGGCCAGAAACTGTAGGGTAGAAAACTTGACTACATTTATTAATGTCACATATTTCTCACTATTTCCCTATCTTTCTTTTCCTATTAGTTTCAGAGATGCCCAGTAATAAGTGTTCTTATATTTCTTTATCATAAAAAAAAAATCCCATTGTGTCTTCTATCTGATTTCTGTTAGTCTTAATCTCTTTGGGCTAAAGGAGGAATTTTTATACTCAGGCTTCTAAGAATAAAATAAGTAAAATAAAAGGATGGCAGAAGTGACAATGAAACTAAATATTTAACTGCAAATGTATATACTTGGGAAAGTAAGATTTGTCCTATGTTAAAAAGGCCCTGGGTTTGTATTTCTAAATTCAAGGTTTTAAATAATTGCTCTTCATAATGCCCACCCACACAGTTAATATCAAGGGAAGCTCAAAATCCATTGTACTTCATAAAGATTTTCTAATTCCTTAAAAGCCAAAGATGACGGCTGGGCACAATGGCTCACGCCTGTAATTCCATCACTTTGGGAGGCCAAGGAGGGCGGATCACCTGAGGTCAGGAGTTCAAGACCAACCTGGCCAACATGGTGAAACACCGTCTCTACTAAAAATACAAAAATTAGCCAGGCCTGGTGGCAGGCACCTATAGTCCGAACTACTAGAGAGGCTGAGGCAGGGGAATTGCTTGAACCCAGGAGGCAGATGTTGCAGTGAGCTGAGATTGCGCCATTGCACTCCAGCCTGGGGGACAAGAAAGAGACTTCATCTCAAAAAAAAAATCCAAAGATGACTCAGACAGGAACCCTGTCTATAGGGGAAGGTGCATTTGTACATAACTAACTGAAATTCATGCTTTCTCAAGTTATACTAGAGGTCCTATAAGAAAATCTAGAGGAAATCAAAGGAGAGGTATCACTTCTGAATGAATTGACTAGGGAAGGCTCTTATGGACATTAGCGCTTATTTAAGCGCTAATGTTTAAGAGCTTAGCTTTAAGGTGTTTAAAGAAGTGTAGAATTTTCTCACATAGCAAAGGAGATAAAGTGAGCCATTTTCAGGCAGAGCTGAGTAGATACAGAGTTCCTGGAGTAGTCAGTTCATTGGGTGGGCCACAGTTTCTAGATTCTAGTGTTTGCATGATCACGTGTGAGTGTGTTTGTACAGAGATGACAGTGATAATATTTAAAACTGGAAAGCTAGTTGATAATCTCATTATTAAGGTTTTTGAATTCAGTGTTAAAGAGCTGGCTTTCTTCTGTAGTAATTGAAATTCAGCAAAGTTTTGTATATGATGAGAGCTGTTAAAAAAATTTCTGTAACAAATATAAGTTGAGAAACGAGAAGTATCAGTCCCCTTATGTATACTATTAAATTTGGTTCTAGTAGACTGTCTCTAACCCATCACAAGGGCAAAGTGAGTATTCTCAGATTCACTATTCACAGAATTCCTAGATTTTAATTCCAAGGAACAGAGACGTCTTCTGGCATTTTTCTCTATGACTCAAAAAACTCAACCGAAGGATAACTAGAAAGAAAGCCAAAGACTTATTTTATTCACATCTACTTGGGAATTTTTTTCACGGTCTGGAAGACTTATTCACTGAGTAAACTGAGCACTATTCATGCTTGCTTTGCAAAGTTGTAGATGGTTTTTGCAATGCTTACCTAACTTCAAGATTTACTTTATTAGATAGAAAAACAGGAGGCAGAAAATCACCGGTTACAACAGGAACTACAGGACGCCAGAGACCAGAATGAGCTGCTGGAGTTTCGAAACCTAGAGCTAGAAGTAAGGAAATGATGATGATAATAATAAAAATAATCATAACTATTAACATGCACTGAGCACATTGAGGAGCTAGGCACTGAATTAAGCATTTCAGATTCATACTCTCATTTGGACCTCATGATCACCCTCAAAATTATATAGTGGAGGCAACTGAGATCAACTAACTTGCCTAAGTCCTGTAACTAGTAAGCGGTAATGCTTTGAGGCAGCTCAAAACTGTCTTTAGTTACTGTTCTTTTCAGCACTACTATCTTTTATAAGCAAGACTAATAAATAATTTTTAAGTAAGTTTAAATAATAGATTTCAACCATCCTCAACATTTCATTATTTTTAAATACTCATGTCCATCCTTAATTAAATGTTGACTCATTAAAACATGTTACTTCAAGAATTGTATTTCAAAATGTGCTATATGAAAAAAGTATTTTGTAGGTAAATGTGAATTTATAAGTAAATGTTTTAGTCCCTAATGCATTTACGCAAAAAAAAAAAAAAAAAAAAAAAAAAAAAAAAAAAGGCTAAGAAGCAAGGTAACTTGTCTTAGAAAATACCTTGATTAATCTGACCAAATTTCAGGTGTTTGTTTTTATTTTGCAAGTAAAACATAGAAACATCAGATTTTGATTGTATCCTGCAGAATCTGACTTAGGATCTGGTTTAGTGTGTGTTGATATATAAAAGTTTAAGAAAAATTCCCATTTGATTTCTGTTATTTTGCCAGTTATTTCTTCTTTAGGCTATTTCAAATTAGGTCTGGATAAAAAGTTAGGTGTTAGTAGGCTTCAGTGAAGAAGAGTCATTCTTTTGTAGGCCACATATCTTACTCATAAAGCTTGAATAGATTGAATATGCAAAAGGCTGTTAGTGGCCATAAAACTTCATGGCAAGACCACGCTATGATATTTGAAAGCTCTAAATATTCATACAGTTTAAACTGGAGCTCCACTTCCTGCATTTCCCTGACCAAAAAATTTGCAAGAATGGATGACACCATCTTCTCAATCTCTTAGTTGACTAGTCAGTTTTTTCCATCACATTTAATCATGAACATCCTGAGTTTGATTTTTTTTTCTTTTTGCCAAATGACATTAATAAACTGCTGAAATAGCATAAAGAGACCACTGGTTTAGTGTTTAATTAATCAGTTTTGTTTTTAATTTCCGTATATTCTTCACTGTATTTCAAGGAGAGAGAGAGACGATCCCCTCCATTTAATCTCCAAATTCACCCATTCTCAGATGGTGTGAGTGCTCTGCAGATCTACTGTATGAAAGAAGGTGTTAAGGTAGGCAGATATTTCATTTTTTATGTTTGTAGAGATTAGAAAAACTGGGAGTTGGAAAAGGGGAGGTTGCTAATGACTATTTTGTCTTTCAGTCACTGGATGTCATCATTTTGATGCAAACTATGTAGGAATTGAAAGTACTCACATCTACTAGAAAATTAACAGAATATTTTTTAATGTGTGACGGATACATAAACGATAACAGAAAAAACACAAGCATCCGTGATTATTTAGAACAGAGTCATATGAAGAAAGATGCAGCATCAAAATTAGCCTTAATTACCTGGGAGAAATGTGAAATCAATTTAATACTTCAAGAAATATATTTCAAGTCTGCCAGATAGAAAAGTTGGAGTCCCTTCTTTGAGCCATTCTAGGTGCTATGGAATTCATAATCATGGAATGGCAGAGTTAGAAGAAGTTTGAAGTCATCTAGTGCATCATCTCTTTTGCTGTGTTTAATTTAGGGAGGGTTCCTCTTTTGGAAGGGTTTAGGGTTCATAACAGATTGCATATTAAATAGCATATAATTATCTTTTTAGTGCTACTGGATATATTTTAAGTATTAGAGTTGAATTGAGTGACTCTGTTCCCCGGGAAAATACGTTGTCCTTCAGAGTAGTGAAATCACCTTGTGAATATCCGTTCCTGGGGTAAAGCTGGGATGCTGCCTGCTATTCCTGGTCTCTCCTTACCTTCTGCATGGCCCTTCCTGCTCCCACTCTGAGCTGCAAAATATACTTGCTTCAGTTGCCTTCTCTGTACTTATGAGATTGAGCTAGACTTTCCCTTTCCTGGTGGTACGACTCTACTGTACTGCTGTTTGAACATGAGTAAGACGAGAACGTAGTACTAATACAGTAAAAAGTGGGAGAAAACTTGGGTAGTAAAGTTGTGCTTCCTTGCCTTCCATCTTAAACCATTGTCCTGGTGTTTAAACTTCTGGTTTTCCTGGGTGGCATGGTAATTTGTCAACCAAAGCAATTTTTGAATTTCACTGTAATTAAATGAAAACTATTTTCTTTGCCTTTTCCTTCGATGCTTTTTTTCTCAGATAAATCACAAACAGCCTAATCCAATGAACTCTTTCAAATGGAGTTCAGCTGCTTCAAACTGACTCAAGGAACAGGAGTAAAAAATAAAAGATGAAATTAATGCTAGCTACCTTAAAAAAAATAGTGCTGCACTATAGTTTTCTACATGGCAGTCAAAATTCAATCAGGTCACAGAATTTTGCTAATTAGAATGAAATTGGTTGATTCTTTATATTTATTACCTATTACTTTTTTATACCTGAAAGTCTATCACAACTGAAAAAAAAGGGTTGGTAGTCATGAGAAGAAAGTTAATGAGAATATTCCAAGTCCTTTACTACATGTTAGACTCTTTCACACACAGTCTGTTTATCCTGAAGATCAGCTCAGACTATGAAGTAGCTATTTATTATCTCCATTTTGCAACTAGCAAAATTAAGAATGATCTGTTAAGTACCTGGCCCAAGTTCACACAGCATGTAAGAAGCAAAATTGAAGCTTAAAACTAGGTGTGCCAGATTGAAAACATCCCAAGGAAGTTCAAGCCCTGAAATTTCTTCCTCTAAATTCATGTTCAGGCACTGATGGAATAGTAGGCTACATTTGTCTTTGACATGAGTTTCTGCTTGATTTTGCAGGATGTGAACATCCCTGATCTCATAAAGCAGCTTGATATCTTGGGCGATAATGGGGTAAGTAAAGAATTGATTAAGTATAGTATAGATATGAATTTGCCTAAACAGAGGCAAGAAATACTTAACAATGCATCATGTGTAAAGTAACAGCACTTGAGATGCCATGTTCACTTAAGGATGTTGCTCCTTGGGAAGAATCTACAATTTATCAAACAACTTGGCTAAGGGGTTGTAAGGATCTCTGGAAGGTAGTAGCAGAAATGAGACCTGTAAAGTGCTTTTTGTGGGCAGGTTTCAGGTTTGAATGCCGACCACATCTCCAGTGAGTAAAGCTAATTACTGTCTGACTCTGGCTCAAAGGCATCCAGTGTGAAATTAATCAGTCATGCATTTGCAAAGGCTGCTAAATACTAGGGCTGTTGGCAGTGCCATAAAAATGGACCAGAAAGCTATAATCCATTTTCTTTCTAAAAACACCTTCCAGACTGGGTCAAGGCACATTAATTCAGCAGGAGGACCATTTATTGTGATAGTAGGTGAATGGTGCTTGTAGGTTGAAGTAATCACCATTTTTCCCTTGAAAATTTATCAAAGGAGAGAACGGAATTAGTAAAGTTACATCAAAACTTCTATGAAGAGACTGTTCTTTATTCTATTTTGGTTTCTGTTTTTCTCATAACATGACTATTAATAAAATATGCCTCCAGTGACACAGAAATCAAGTCAGTGTTAAGGAGATATAAAAAAAATCAGGTTTAATATACTTCTTCCAGGTTTTGATTAACTCTTTGTTCAGAATTATTACTAAACAGAATAGGAATTTGTTAAGCTTCTATACAGGCTTATACAGAATGCTCTGTAGCAGTCAGTCAGACAGTATTTTCTTTGGGATAAATAATATCAGTATGTTCAGCTTATGGCCTTTCTTATTTTTTACAGAATTTAAGAAATGAAGAACAAGTGGCCATAATTCAGGCCAGCACTGTGCTGTCCCTGGCAGAGAAGGTAATGAGTCGTACAAACATTTCAAATCATTTCATTAATACTGAAAGAGCAGGCTAGGGTGTGAAGGACATTCTCTCTGCACATGACTTTGTGTGTGAATACCTAACACACGTTTTATTTTTAAGGGTGGTACAACCCAGATAGAATGAGAACACCCAAAAGAAAAGTCTATACACTGATTCGGGGTGGGTGGATAATTTTTGCTTTGAAGTTCCTTAAAGATATATATAATTCTTTAAAAACAGAAAACCTTCTGGATTACATTATTTACACAATCCCTACCAAGCTAGGAAACCACCAGAGAAGAGAATTGTAGGGTGGTGATAAACTGGAGCATTGCTCTTGTCATAGACTTTTCCTGGGGTGTGTACACACCATCACTCCCAGCTGATCTTAGGGCTTAGTAGTGGCTCGTTGCTGTCTCATTCAGAAAGCCCGACAGAGAGACTGTCAGGAGAAAATCAACACTGACTGTGCTCTGGCTCCACCTTGTGTCTAAACCTGGTAAATGGCCAGATAAATTAGTGTATTCAGAGTACTTCATGAATCAGTGCATAAAGCCTGGCTGGGTGGCATGTGCCTATAGTCCTAGCTACTTTGGAGGCTGAAGGAGGAGGCTCACTTGAGCCCAGGAGTTTGGGGCTGTAGTAACCACTGTACTTCAGCCTAGGCAACAGAGTGAGACTCCATCTCCTTAAAGAAAAAAAAAGTACCAGTAAATACTTGAGAGTCACGTGCACATGGTTGGATGAAATGAGAACAAGCAATCAGCTCTCTCCAATCTGAAATGAGGGAATTCTACAGGTCAAATGACAGTCAAGTTACTCAAACAAAAGAGTGAAATAAAGAAAAAACAGGGAGAACAAAGAAGAAGTATAGCTATGAAATAAAAAGACACTTAACCAGGTGTTTTTTAAAAAGGACATTTTGTTGACAACTGGAGAAATTTAATGTGGACTGAGTATCAGATGACAAAAGTAATTAATGTTAATTTTGTAAAGTGTACCAATAACCTTGTGGGTTTTTTTTTTAATAGAAAGGCCTTATCTGTTAGAGATACATATTGAAGTATTTACATGTGAAATAACATGAAAGCTGGGATTTTTTCTTTTAAAGACACTTCCTTCCTTCACAGTTTAATTACAGACCTGATCACTTTCTCTGATCCCTCCCCAGCAAATGCTGCATTATCTCTAACAGACGGTCCAAATTTAGAATTTGGCATACAGACCCTCTGGGATTTGAGTCTTATCTATTTCTCTAGCGTTTCCTCTCCCTGCTCTCCCTCCATTCTCTCTCTCTCTTTCTGCCTCCATTCTCCACTCTTGGTCCTTTATACTGATCTTTTCACCTGGAAGATATTCCCATCTTGCCTTTCTACCTCTGCCTGGCTAAATCTTGATCATCAGACCTCCCCATACATGAGGAAGCCTGCCTGTCCACTCAAGCCCCCGTAGGTGTTCCTGCTGTATGTTCCCACAGTGGCCTGTGCTACTGCTCCCAAGACTTTTGACAATTGCATTGCACTGTCCATTTGCATTTGTCATATTGCCCCATCTAACTACCACTAGACTCTAAGGCCCATGAGGACAAATAGTTGTGTCTCTCCATTCCCTACCCCCTGTTTTTTGCCCTAGCTTTTCACACCAGTCCAGCACATGTACTAAGTGATGAATAAATGTTAACTGAAGGAGCAAAGGTGTGAATTTGTGAATGCTCACAAGACACCATTTCAGTGACAACACAAAGATGAAAAAAACACAGTCTGTGCCTCCCGTGCTGCTATCATCTGGCAATGATAGCCAGAGAGCCTCATTCATCTGGAATCATGAAGGGCTGCAATTCTTTATTGCAAGAAAAAAATCGCCTTGGTTTAGGCTACAAACAACACATAGGCTGATTCTATGGAAGATGAGGACTGAGGAGGTGAAAGAAAGGAAATACAGCCTTGTGTGTCTCACATTTACTGAGATTGATGGCAGAAGTATCTTCTGCTCCCTGGCTGTGTGAGTGCAGTACAACTGTACTTATCAGAACCAACAACTGTACTTATCAGAATCAACAACTGTACTTATCAGAATCAAGACTTGCGCAGTGCTCCTTTTGAGACAGGCACTTTCTAACTGCTGACGACTCGGTACTATTGTGACCTTTATTTCACACAAGGAATCTGAAGCACACACACACAAAAAGGTAGATAACTGCCTAAGGTCACACAGCTTGAAGTTGATGCAGTCAGGATTCACACCCAAGCAGTCTGGTTCCAAAGCCCATGATCTTACCTCTTGCACCTAACTCCTCCTGCAGGAAATAGGCTTTGCAGACCCCATGTGAGCTGGGCTGTCAGAGCTGAGGCAAATTAGCCCATGCCTCTACTTACCTTTTTGGCAAGACAGGTATAGGGACCAGCTGAACAAATACAGGGTGATGACTCCATGCTTAGCACTGTGGTAGAAAGCTGGGAACCAGATGAACAAGACACAAGCCTGCCCTAAAGTGCTCACGGTCTGTTCAGCTGCCTTATGTGCAGACTTTCTCAATGCACAGATTAAACTTACCTCTTGTCTGCGGGATTCACAGATAAAAGTTTCTACATCCAAGTAATTCTAAATATCCACAATGAATTTTTGAGACTACCAATTTGAATAGCACTCTATTATATGGGAGTATGATCCTTAGCCAGAGTTTGAGCCTAGACAAAATTCCAACAAGCAAACCCAATTGTCACTTTGTATTAGAAATATTGGCAGTGACCTTGAGTGAGAACATAGTGGAGGCTGGACACTGCACTCAATGCCGTAAGTACATTTTCCCACTGTTCCTTACAACCATTCTATAGCTGCCATTATTTTTTAATTTGTATAAATTTAAGGAGTACAAGTGTACTTTTATTACATGGATACACTGTGTACTGGTGAAGTCTTGGCTGTTAGTGTATCCACCGCCCAAATAATGTACATTGGGGTACCATTGCTTTTATTTTATACATGAGAAAACTGAGGCTTGGGATATTCAGTAACTTGTCCTGATTACACAAGTAGGAAGGAACAGCAACCAACACACAAATCTATATCTAATGCTCATGATATAATGACTTTAGTTCACAGTACTCTTAAAAACATGATTTGTAAAAATATGTTTCTTGATAACAAATGGACAGCAAGCAAGCTTGATGAAGGATTTTAGGTTTTGGATGGGTACAATTGCAGTTTGAGTCTATTTACACAAAACCCATGACTGACTGAAATTTGTTTCAAGGAGAAGCCATGTGTATGTACAAAGAACTGAGAGATTAGCACCTCTCCAGCCTAGGCATGCCTCTTTCGTTTCACCATGTTCCCCATAGCCAAGGAGTAGTTAAACATGGTATCCCCTTGTAAGTATCAAGACTGTAGTATATAGAAATGCTCGCTAGGCTGCATAATTTGTCACAGGTAACCTAGAAAGAACTATCTGGTGCCGGGCGCGGTGGCTCACGCCTGTAATCCTAGCACTTTGGGATGTCAAGGTGGGTGGATTGCCTGAGCTCAGGAGTTTGAGACCAGCCTGGGGAACACAGTGAAACCCCATCTCTACTAAAAATACAAAAAAATTAGCCAGGCATGGTGGTGTGCACCTATAATCCCAGCTACTCAGGAGGCTGAGGCTGGAGAATCGCTTGAACCTGGAGGTGGAGGTAGCAGTGAGCTGAGATCCTGCCATTGCACTCCAGCCTGGGTGGCAGAGCGAGACTCTGTCTCAAAAAAAAAAAAAGAGAGAGAAAGAAAAATAAAACAAAAAGAAGTATCTTGTAGTGAGATACCACTAGTACATGCAATACCCAATGGATATTGCCTCATATTATTTACTTCCTTTATCTTTACTTATTATTAATCCCATTTGACAGACAAGAAACTTGAGACTTAGAGAAATCAGGTAACCTTTCCATGCCACCCACCCATAAAAAGCTGGAATTGAAATTACCGTCCAGGTAGTCTGTCTTCAGAACCCACTTAATTATTATGCCCAACTGCTTCCCTAAAATATAAGCTGACATTTAACTTGCTAGAGATGCATTATAATAATTTGTTCTATAAAAACCTGTATATGGTAGGGTCACATATTATTCAAAGTCTGCATTCAGAGTGTTTATCAATGCTAACATAAATATCATATATTCTGAGTACTGGGAAAGATAAGTTTTTATGTGATTTAAAACACCTCCATTTCACAAAAATAATTCTTCCCCACTTTGCTGTAATCAGTTTTATATATTGAAAAAGTACCGTTGTCCCAATTCTCCAGTGTACCTGGCCTTCTTTCTCTGATCCTGCTTCCTCCAACAATAGAACTATTGGACATGATGTCCCTTCCACTTGGAACTTCCTCTTCATTTTTTCCCAGTCATCTCTCACCCATTCTTTGGAGCCCAGTGCAATTATCACTTACAGGAAAGCCTCCCATGGTGTTCTCCAGTAAGAGCAGGAGTCTTGTTGATCTGGTTCACCACTGCAGCCTTAGGACCTGGTACATCACCTGATACTTGCTAGTCATCTATAAATGCATTTGTTGAATGGGTGAATGAATGAATACAAGGAAGACCGTAGTCTTGTTTCTGAACTATGAGATAAAAATGTGGGCCGGGCGCGGTGGCTTGTGCATGTAATCACATCACTTTGGGAGGCTGAGGCAGGTGGATCACCAGGTCAGGAGTTCAAGACCAGCCTGGCCAAGATGGTGAAACCCCGTATAGCTGGACGTGGTGGCGAGCGCCTATAATCCCAGCTACTCGGGAGGCTGAGACAGAGAATTGCTTGAAACCGGGAGGCAGAGGTTGCAGGAGCTGAGATCACACTACTGCACTCCAGCCTGGGCAATGAAGCAAGACTGCGTCTCAAAAACAAAACAAAACGTGTTGTTTTTGCTTCAGTTTTCAATCTGCTTCCTGAGATATAAGGGGAGGAGACTAAGCACCTCATGGGGGCACACAGATATACACCATATCAAGCAGCCATGTCAAACACTTTTGTCTTGTTCACCCCTTAGTGGATCCAGCAGATTGAAGGAGCAGAGGCTGCCCTACACCAGAAAATGATGGAATTGGAAAGTGACATGGTAAGTACAAAGATAAGATATTGTAAAAATTAAGAAAAATCTACAAGGCAAATGGAAAATTAAAGTTGCCTCTACCAGTTTTATTTGGCACTGATGAAAGTTTGTCATCTTTCCATTATTATTTTATGTACAGAAGATGGAAAAAAAATTACCAGAAGTACCAAACAATTTCAGGCTATATTCTCCCCCAAAAAAAGTTAGGTTTTGGAAAATATCCAAAACTAATGCTGAAGAAACTTGAGTTTTCTTATGTTTTCTTTGTTAGGCTAAATAATTTTTCCACTGTATTTAATTAACAAGTAAAAATTACAGAAATGGAGGGTGTAACTCTGATTTTAAAAATCCCTAAGCCACCTTACATCCATTAGAATAGCTCTCATCAAAAAAAAAAAAGTAGAAAAAAAGACCTAGTATAGTGGCTCACACCTGTCCCAGCAATTTGGGAAGTTAAGGCAGGAAGAGTACTTGAGCACAAGAGTTCGAGACCAGCCTGGGCAAGATAGTGAGAGCCCATCTCTACAAAAAATAATTAGCAGCATAGTGGTACGTGCTTGTGATCCCAGCTACTCGGGGGCTGAGGCAAGAGGATCATTTGAGCCCAGGAGGTGGAGCCTCCAGTGAGCTATTTTTGTACCACTGCATTCCAGCCTGGGCAACAGAGCAAGAAGACCCTGTGTTCCCACAATCAAAAACATAAAACGAGTGTTGGCAAAGATAAGGGGAAATTGAAACCCTTCTTCACTATTGATGGGAATGTAAAACTGGTACAGCTACTGTGAAAAAAAGTATGGTGGTTGCTCAAAAAAAAATCAAAATAGAATTAGTATATGATTCAGCAATACCACTTCTGGGTGTGTATCCAAAAGAATTGAAACCAGAGTCTGGAAGAGATACTTATACACCCATGTTCATAGCAGCTTTATTCACAGTAGCCAAAAGGTAGAAGTAACCCAAATGTCCATAAATGGATGAACAAATAAACAAAAGGTGGTGTATACATATTATGGTATATTATTTAGCTTTCGAAAGGAAGGAAGTTCTCATACAAGTTACAATAATGATGTACTTTCAGGACACTGTTAAGTGAAATAAGCTATTCACAGAATTATAAATACTATATGAATCCACTCATGTGAGGTGCTAGATTAATCAAACTTAGAAACAGATAGTAGACTAGTTGCCAGGAGGTGAAAAGGGGAAACATAGAGCTGTTGTGTAATGGGTATAGTTCAGTTTTGCAACATGAAAAATTCTGTACATTGGTTGCATAAGAATGTGAATATACTTTGTACTACTGAACTGTACACTTAAAAATGAGTTTAAAATAAGTGAGGTTGTAAATGTTATGTGCATTTTACCACAATTTTAAAAGTTTCTTTTTAATTGCCAAGTCTAAAAATTGGTTATTATTAACTTACAGCAATGCATAGAAATTTATAACAAGATTGGGCTGGGCGCGGTGGCTCATGCCTATAATCCCAGCACTTTGGGAGGCTGAAGCGGGCAGATCTCCTGAGATCAGGAGTTCGAGATCAGCCTAACCAACATGGAGAAACCCTGTCTGTACTAAAACTACAAAATTAGCCAGGCATGGTGGCGCAGGCCTGTAATCCCGGCTACTTGGGAGGCTGAGGCAGGAGAATTGCTTGAACCCAGGAGGCGGAGGTTGCAGTGAGCCGAGATCGCGCCGTTGCACTCCAGCCTGGGCAAGAAGAGCGAAACTCTGTCTCAAAAAAAGAAAAAAAAAAAAAGAAAGAAATTTATAACAAGATTATTATTAGTGTTATCATTATAACTAGAAAACATGTAGTGGATTCCTATTGGACAGGGAATCCTATAAAAACAACTTGCATTTGTGTAGCACATTATAGCTTATAAATTATTTGCTTATATTTTATACAGTGCTCACATTTTAGTAAGAGGTTAGGCTCCAATGTCAAAGCATATAAAAAGAACAGCTTGTTATTTTATTTTATTTTATTTTATTTTATTTTATATTTGGTCAAGAAAGCTTTCCAAATGAACAATTTGTCTTCAAAATTACCCTTGAAAGTGCTTTAAGGCCGGGCGCGGTGGCTCAAGCCTGTAATCCCAGCACTTTGGGAGGCCGAGACGGGCGGATCACCAGGTCAGGAGATCGAGACCATCCTGGCTAACCCGGTGAAACCCCGTCTCTACTAAAAAATACAAAAAACTAGCCGGGCAAGGTGGCGGGCGCCTGTAGTCCCAGCTACTCGGGAGGCTGAGGCAGGAGAATGGCGTAAACCCAGGAGGCGGAGCTTGCAGTGAGCTGAGATCCGGCCACTGCACTCCCGCCTGGGTGACAGAGCGAGACTCCGTCTCAAAAAAAAAAAAAAAAAGTGCTTTAAAAACACAAATATTAGTTAAGCGATTAGCCTGTATCAGGCAGTGTTCTAGGTGCTGGAATTCAGCAGTCACCAGCAAAGTCAACAGCAAAATTGCTCCATACAGATATATGAGCTCTCAAAATTCAACACCATTGAGTTTTTCTTCAGAGTGTGAAGAAGTCTTTGTTCCTTCAGTTAAGCACCCAAAGAAACAATTGACTTGTGCTTGGGACTATGTTGCACACAGGGATACAGTTTTAAGTGCTAATGGCAAGATGCTGGTAATATGAGAAGCACACAGAAACTAAGAACGAGAGAGGGAACATCAGATTTACTTTTCCCAGTGCACACTGGCTTTATGGCAAAGGCAGACACCCACTCATTAAGCGGCAGTGTGGATGGAATCACTCCCACTCTTTAAATTGCTATTTTTGTCCTTGTGTTTTCTAGTTGTACACAGATGAATTTGCATAAGTTAAACTTGTTGATTATGCAACCTGGCTATGTTACATCTGATCACATTCTTACAAAAATATATTATCATAATACATTTACCTAGATAGGCTTATTATTAAACACTAGTCAAAATCTATACTTAATCACGTGCTCTCAGATTAAAACTCTTTTAGAGCATTCTATGTGGATTTTTCATTATATCTTTTATGCTGCTTTCCATTGATTTTCACATTCCTTGTGTGAGACTGTGAGAGTTGAACTATTTCCGTAACAGACAAAATTTATGACTCTACAAATACTAGTGATTTGTCTTATGGTAGAATTAGAGGAAACATTAATCAATACAACTTGTATGTCACTTTCTAGTTAACTAAGCTGACTCTATCAATATGGCCCTTTGTTATAGGAACAGTTCTGCAAAATAAAAGGCTATCTGGAGGAAGAACTAGACTACAGAAAACAAGCTCTTGACCAAGCATATATGGTAGGTACAACAAGCGATAGAGACACCCGGAGTATTTACAGTTAAGTACTGTGAAATGAAGTATCCTATTTAATTTTCCATGCTATGTGCTTGAATAGATCACGACATGCAGTTTATTCATTGACTGGTTTTCAGTTCTAATTTTAGAACAAATACATTCCTAGCTCTTTACTTATTCTTGTAAGATTCTTATAAGATATTCTTATAATATCTAATAAATATTCAATTATACTTCATTTTTTAACAATTAAAAGGCCAGACATGGTGCCTCATGCATGTAATCCCAGCACCTTTGTGAAACCAACGTGGGCAGATCCCTTGAGTCCCGGAATTCAAGACCAGTGTGAGCAACATGGTGAAATCCTGTATCTCAAAAACAAAGATAAAAATACAAAATACAAAAATTACATGCACCTTGTAGTGCTAGCCACTCAGGAGGCTGAGGAGGGAGGATTCATTGAGCCTGGGAGGCCAAGGCTGTAGTGAGCTGTGATCATGCCACTGTACTCCAGCCTGGGCAACAGAGCAAGATCCTGTCTCAAAACAAAACAAAAACAATTAAATATATGTTGTGGATAATATATAGATGAAGAACAGATTGAATGGCAGTGTAGATTAAAGAGAAATTTTATTGAATCAAATTCAATCATTTGGGAGGCGGATCTAGTAGTGGAATAATGTGTTTAATGTTTGTTATGCATATTTTTAATTCATTTATCTCTTACAACAACCCTGTGAGGTATAGGTAAGATTATTACAATTATTATTCATATCTCACATATGAGGATAGTAAGATTTAGAGAATTTAAGGACTTTGCCCAAGTTGATAAGTGGGTAGTGTATAGATCTGACTCCAGATCCTGTGGCCTACCATAATCCAGCCACAGCAACTGAGGCTTCCATGGTAAATGGGCTGTGCCATTTGTCTCCCACAGAAGATTATGCTGATTAAGGGCCACATGTGATCCATTCTCCTCTACCAAATTCCTATTACACAATTCTTCATACTGAACTATAGCTCACATTTCTTCTCTCCTTATGCTCTACTGTACATTAATTCATGGTTATGAATCAAAAGAAAAAGAGCAAATTAAAGGAACATTTCAAAGAATTCCTAGCAGAGGTTTTTATAATGCTTTCCTGGAAGCAGCTTGAGTCACTTTTGGGGAAGGAGTGAAGTAGTTAGTCCCTGCTTGTAACAAAGACGAACTTGTCTTTGCATTCCAAAATGAGTAAGAGATTCTGAGCTTGTTTGATGGGGAAAGAAGAGAATGGGCATTCGTTGCTAATTAAAGACAGAGAAGGAAGTGATTTTTGCTTCACTTCTACCTTTCACCCTTGCCTCTTCCACCTGTAAGAAATTAAGTTGTGTGTTTATGTGGCTCCTGAGACTACTGAGTACTCATTCAGAAAACCATATTTATCCTTAAAAAGATGAGATCTGCTTAGCCCCAGGACAAGAGCTAGGAAAATATTTCTCACCAAAGCATGTCTGGTCACTTCTGTCAGACTTAGTAGAGATAAGATTGTAGATTTTAGCAACAGTTATTTGAAGCATATCAAAAAAGAAAGAAAAAGAAACAGATATAAGAGGCAGTGGATCCTTCATCTACAAAAGAAAGACTCAGAGAAATATTATAACGAGAGCAGCCATAAATCTCAGAGAACTTATAAACAGACCAATTCCAAAACTTTAGGACATTTTTGGATTTTATTTCTCAATATTATTTCAAGAAAAAAATTTGGAGACCATAAAGCCATCTTCAAGTACCAGAGGTTTGTCATGTATTAATAGAATGGGGGCGGTATTTTGTGCACAAAATATATCTCCAATTTTAAGTATTTTGTCCTAACTTAGACTATTTATTTCTAGAAGTATGGCCACTATGGTAGATGTCCTTAAATATATGAAGAGCTCTCTTGTTTTTAGGGGGGGTTTTGTTTGTTTGTTTGTTTGTTGTTTTGAGACGGAGTTTCACTCTTGTTGCACAGGCCAGACTGCAATGCCCGATCTTGGCTCCCTGCAACTTCCACCTCCCAGATTCAAGTGATTCTTCTGTCTCAGTCTCCTGAGTAGCTGGGATTACAGGCGCACACCACCATGCCCAGCTAATTTTTTATATTTTTGGTAGAAATGGGGTTTCACCATATTGGCCAGGCTGTTCTCAAAATCCTGACCTCAGATGATCCACCTGCCTCGGGCTCCCAAAGTGCTGGGATTACAGGTGTGAGCCACCGCACCTAGCCAAAGCTGTCAAGTAGAAGTGAGGGCCGGGCGCGGTGGCTCAAGCCTGTAATCCCAGCACTTTGGGAGGCCGAGACGGGTGGATCACGAGGTCAGGAGATCGAGACCATCCTGGCTAACACAGTGAAACCCCGTCTCTACTAAAAATACAAAAAACTAGCCGGGCGAGGTGGCGGGCGCCTGTAGTCCCAGCTACTCGGGAGGCTGAGGCAGGAGAATGGCTTAAACCTGGGAGGCAGAGTTTGCAGTGAGCTGAGATCCGGCCACTGCACTCCAGCCTGGGCAACAGAGCGAGACTCCGTCTCAAAAAAAAAAAAAAAAAAAGTAGAAGTGAGAACACACTTATTCTCAGCTACTCTTTAGGATAGGAAGTACAGTTATTATAACAAAGTGAGGGCTTTCTAAAAAGGAAGAGTATATAAAATGGGTAGGGTTCCAAGAAAGAACAAATGTTCCCTCACTAGAGAAGTTCATGGATTGGATAGATGACCCTTACGGAATCTCATAAAAGGGGATTTTCAGAAGTGTAATTAGGCTAGAGAAGCTTTGAAATTATTTTCTTGCTAAGATCCTTTAAGACTAAAGTTGACGGCCATACACATATACATACATAGCGTACACTCCCACACCGCATATCAATGCCAAGTTCCAAAGTTAGACTTTTCTAATTCTATTTGCCAGAGAATCCAGGAACTAGAAGCTACTTTGTACAATGCTCTACAGCAAGAAACTGTTATCAAGTTTGGTGAATTATTAAGTGAAAAACAGCAAGAGGAGCTGAGGACGGCAGTAGAAAAGTTACGGCGGCAAATGCTGAGGAAGAGCAGAGAGTATGACTGTCAGATTCTTCAGGAGAGAATGGAGCTCTTACAGCAAGCCCATCAGGTGAGGACTGAGTCACTGCCTCTGCGTAGGGTTAGTACTAGCAAATGGGACTTAGTACTAAGTACACGGTATTGAGTATGGGTATGGAGAAGCCGAGGAGATACAAGTTATTTTCAGAGAGTAAAATAAATAACCATTGTTTTCTACCTTCATGCACATATAAAAATGACAGTTTTATAATAATTCAATCTTGAGAAAATTGGCATTTCAGAAGGACTGCATACTGCTACTATTTTTAGAACTACATTTTCATGAAATACCCTTTGAATTTCATGGAGTCTGATTATCTACATTATGCAGGGAAGCAGGACACTCTCCAGGGCAAAAATAGTGCTTTCCATTTATTGCTCACTCCAGTCCGTAACCAAGGCTGATAACAATCCGAATAGTGTAAAAGAGAACAAGGATCGTTCACATTACAAACATCAGCAACAACAAAGCCCGGCAGCTGCTGTTTACTTACTGACATTTGCTTTATGTCAGTAAGTAAACTAAGGAATCTACTTACATCATTTCCTTTAATCTTCATAATAGCCCTATGAGGTAAGTATTTTTATTATCTCAGTTTTGGAGATAACAATACTAAAGATAAGAATGTTTAAGTGATTTGCCCAAGATGACACAGATGGTAAGCAACAGTCAGGATGACAGCCTAGGTCTGCTGAACTCGAAGGCCAGTGTGTCTGAACACTATTATACCATCATCCATGACTTATGTGATTCATCAGCAAGGCTCAAAATAGGTACCCAATACTAATTTCCAGCCAACATTTTTTATTGCAACTCTCTATTCACACCATAGCTTGACAGTTGAGGGCTGAGATCCTGGTCAAAATATAGATTCAATAAGGATTCCACAACTGAAAGTGTCAGGTTATAGTATTAAATCCTCAGAAGCTATGAGAAGCAACTGGTACAAAATCCAGATGGTATGAATAAGCAGTACGAATTGTGTGGTCATCAGTGATCACGGTAAGTGGAAAAGAAGAAGGGGTTCTTTTATGAGGCAAATCAAAACAATTCATGGGGGACATGACACTTAGCACACTTCAGATGCAGGCAGGAGCTTTGTGGATTTTATAGGCTAACAGATTACCGGAGTAGGTGGAGAATTCTGAAGTCACGCGTCCCAGAAATGATAAATACGTACATGTTCCTATTAATGCCCCCTCAGATTCCATCACAAAGGTTTGGGTTTTGACCCATGGAAAGACTCAAAGTCTTTAATAATAGACTCTATGGCATCATTGCATTGCTTCGTGCACTTTTCTTCTAGCAGGGGATAAAAATGTTCCCTGCACAAATTTCTTGTGCTGCAATAGCATGTAATTACTTTCAACAAATTGGGAGTTATGTCATGGAAACACAGAAGTGTTTACTTTTAAGATGGACTAATAGTTATCTAAATTTATTTATGATAAAAACCTGTATTCCATTTGAGTATTTCTTTAACCATTTAGCTAGGATACTTCACTCCTGAAAGAGTGAAGTTTAAGTTATCCAGTAGCGTCAGTAGTATACTGCATTTCTGAACCTCAGAGAGTTTCGCTGACATTTTCCATCCATCTCCTAAACAAATGTTCATTAGAATATGCCTTTCCCAGTTATTTCTTACTCTTCTTCTTCCCTTTTAATTAATAGCTGAGTTTCATAGAACTATTGCAGAAGATATTGGCCAGGATTTTTCACATATAACTATGTAATACACTCTAACTTCTAAAATATAGCACTAACCATTTATTACACAGTTCTGCTTGAATATTTAAGAGTGAACTGGTGAGTTCTCATCCTTACTTCTCTTCTCTCTCCCCATCTGCCTGTCTTAGTCAGTAGAATTACCATATCTCAAATCACTCTGGCTAGAAACACTGGAGTCTTCTCTGTTCTTTCCCTGTAAGCATTAATATAGCACCGCATCCAACTGGCATTTCCCCTGAAATGTTTCTGATACTGGTCCATTTTGTTCATTTTTGTCACCCCAGGCATGTTCAGGGCCTTTCATTATTCGACCAGCTTCCAGGTACTGCCAAATGTTCTCTATGTGAATCTGACTCCATCATCTATGCATTTATTCAGTCAAACCTTTAAACGTGTTTCCTAGGTGATAAATACTGTGCTGACAGAGAAGTCACCGTGGACCCTGCCTCCACAAAATGTAGGATCCATAGAAGGATATAAAATGATTAACACAAAGAAAAATAATTATGATATATCATAATAAATGGCATTTTTAAAAGCACATGCAGGTGCCATGGGGCCTAGTTCTAGCTCTCCTTTTTTCAGTCCACCACACATCTCATCTCAGATTTTTCTCACTTTAACTCATGGTACATTCTTGCCCCAAAGCCTCCATGGTCCCAATTTCCAGTTGAGTCGAGTCTTATGCAGGTCTCTTCAGTTCCTTCAGTAGCTGACTACCCCTCCCTCCAAAACCAGATTTGACCCAACCCCAGAGCATACTTCCCTCTCCACTCATGCAAAACATCCTGGTCCCACTTGTGCTGTGATTTTCTACCTCTAAGCCCCTGTTGCATAATTGCTCATCCTAACATGTCCATTAGTTTTCATTGCATTCATCCAAGTGTTCTCATTTTTCCAGTCCCAGTTTAAGATCCAACCCCTTCAAGATCCTCTCCGTGATGAAAATTTTTTAAATGAACCACATACTGCTCAAAAAAATCTACACTCTATATTCTGTTATGCACTCATTCACAACCATTTATTGAGGGCCTGCTGTGTACCAGGTGCTGGGAGTGTAATGGTAAGCAAAGACATACAGATCACTACTCTCATCTGTGTCACAGAGGGACAGGGACAAAGCCACAGCACAAATGAACAATGACTGAGGCAATTTCTGAGAGTGGCAATAAGTGCTATGCAGAAACGTATACAATGTGTGTGTGAGTTTGGGAGTAGGATTGGCCACTTTAGGCTGGCTGGTCACAGAAGGCCTCTCTGAAAATACCTAAGATCCAAGAAATGAGCCACACAAAGATCTTGGCCAAGTGTCCCAGAAGTCAAGAACAACAAGGGCTAAGTCCCTATCATCAGAATAAGTTTGGAATAGTCAAGGAACAGAGCAAAGGAAGGCTAGAATGTTAGGAGCACACTCAGCCAGAGTGAGGTTGATAGGAGGAGACATCCGAGAACTAAGAAAGGACCACATCACATAGGGCTTTGCAGGAGTTCGAGTTTTATTCTGAGTACAACTCTTCCCCACCCACTTCAACTCAGGGGACCATGGAGATCATTTTTACATTCTGAGAGTTCACAGTGGCTGCTATAGATGAATGTAGTATGGTCAAAATAAAAGGCGGGAAGAGCAGGTAGAAGCTGCCACACCAGTCCTGACAAGGGAAGACAATGACTTGGTGAACTTGGTATCAGTAGAAATAAAAAGAAGTGGGTAGAAAAGGAATGTTTTAGATCCAACAAGGTTTCCTGTTGGGTGGATGGCAAAGGGATGGGAAGCAAAAATAAATCAAGTGTACATCATATGATGTAGCATAACACATTTATTTAACAACAAAAAAAAATGTGTGGACACCTTCTTCATGCTAAACACTACACTAGGCATTGGAGATGGGTGATAAAGTTATTCAGTTTTTTCCATTGTTTACCTTTTCTATTTAATTTTGTTATTCCATCTGGATCTGATAGTTCTTTGAAATCTGGAACTAATTGGTGCCTTATCGGTATTGTCCATTACATTCAGCACAGTCATGAGCATGTAAGGAGGTGCCCAACAAGCGTAGACGTGGTGCTGAATGGATGCTGCAGTAATTTTACATATTCATGATTTTGTCCATATAGGACTGCCTGCATATCCAGCAGACATGCCAAGGAATTACTTGAACACTCAAGGTAGAAATATCTAGCAAATTTATTCTTTTACTGTGTAGCTATGGAGCACTGACAGCACTATGGAAATACACACCAGCACACACATCACATATGTATACACACACCATCAACATTCCAGTCCCATCCCTTTCTCCAGCATTCATTATGGCATAATTTCAAGGTTAACCTTTATGGTCTCACTCTGACCAAAACACACCATCTCTTCTTGCACAAACCTTAGCCCCCTTACTTTAAAGAAGAGTTTTTCAATCTCAGCACTGCTGAAATTTTGAAGCAGATATTTCTTTATTATTTTTTAGGGGGAGGGGTGGCTGTTCTGTGCCTTATCAGATGTTTAGTAGCATTTCTGGCTTCTACTTGGTAGATGCTAGATGCACATACTCCCAATTGTGATAATACAAAAATGTCAAGACATTTAGATAATGGTGATGGTTGCACAACTTTGTGAATATACTAAAACCACTGAATTACACAACTTAAAATAAATGAACATATTAACTAACCTTAAAAAAATGTGCAGAACTGCCAAATGTCCCTGACTGGAGCAGGGAGAGACAAACAGTTGAGATCCACTCTTTTAAAGAGAAGGAGATATGCTTTCCAAGTTCAAGTACCCCTTGTTCTAGCTTCCCCTTTTTTCTCCTACCACTGCATTATAAAAACCTCTCTATATTATCATCCCATTTGGCTTCTAGTGTTTTCTTCATACACTCCATTTCTCTATTTTCTAATTATTCCCAGCAGAGGTATTAAATAAGAAGCCTGCATTGTATAACCATGTACATGAACACAAAAAGCCTTTAGATTGCCAGATATAAATGTGAAGACTTTATTTTACTTGTAAATAATTGTATGTAATGTTGATTTCAAATACTTGGTGTTTAAATTAGTGGAATTTTGCTACATAATTGAGAGGTAAGTTCAAAGACAGTCTTGGAACTTTTCGTCTTTAGGATTACTTGTGTTATGTTTGTTATGTTCTGGTGTTTTCCTAATTTACCAGTTCCCTCCTGGGAATGTTTGTTGATGTGTAATCTCTACTTTGTTTTATGAGAATTTACCAATTCTATTTTGTGAGAAAATTCTATCCTGAAACAAGGCTGAAATAGAGTTAAGAAAAAAAAAAGGTTAAGAAAGAACAATTCGATTGTTTACATCTATATGAGTCAGCCTCAGCCATCTTTAATGTGGTAACAAACAATCAAAATCTCAATCCAAATGGTTCATAACAAAGCTCGTTTCTTGCTCTCTAGTTCTGAGACATACTACACCCTCTATAAGGATTTGATATTCCCAAATCTTATTCCAACTCGCATTCCACTGGCCAAAACAAGTCTCTTTGCCAAACTCAATATCAGTGGTGTGGAATCTACACCTCACTAGGAAGGGGTCTACAGGGATAGGCCCAGTAGAAAGGGTAGCAAATATTTTTTGAAAAGAGAGTCAGTAACAATGATTTTCTACCACAAGCATAGATAATTTCTGAAGCATGCAACATGTTTTTGGTTGGGGAAAAACATAGATGTGATGTTTCCAGCTGCTTGTACAAATATTCAGGTTTGTATAGGAATGTTCATGTTTTCGTTTGGTGAATTATTTTTCTGCACAACTTACCACCTACTGATGCTTTCTTTCTTTTCTTTTCTTTCTTCAGAGAATTCGTGACTTAGAAGATAAAACAGACATCCAGAAAAGACAAATAAAGGACTTAGAAGAAAAGGTATGTGTCAGGTTCAATAAGTATCTTATTATTTGTTCAACCAGAAAGCAGTATTGATTTTGCTCACTGTATTTTCTTTCTGGCTTCTCAGTTAATTTGTGTGTCTTGCAGAGGCAGGTGTAGTTACAGTAAACCTAGCTTTCACCTTCAGTCAGTCAGAATACCAGGAAAGAGTCTGCCATCAGTAACCTAGCCTTCACGTGTTTGTCTTTTGTGTTTCTTTCCTATTTTTTAATGTATTTTCTTTCCTTAGTTTCCCCTTCCTTATCTTCATTTCCTTTGCAAAAGTTTCTTCTGAATTTGGTTACCCTACTTTGCTCTGTTTTTTAAAAAAAAACCTTTTAGCACCTTTTTTAAAAACTTTTTCCATTATCATTCATAAAAAGACCTTTCATCCTTGTGCTGCAGTTTCACCTTAACAATCAGTTCAGAAATTTGGATTGATATGTGATAATCATGTTGTCCTGTCACACCCCAGGGATCTCAAAGAGTGGCTGCTTCCTCCAAGTCGGCCAGTGTTTTTGAGGGGTATAACAACGTGGCTCTAACAGAGGGCACTTGGAAATGCATGTGGGGTGGGAGCACAGACAGAGCTCAGACTGGGATGCTGAACAAGCTGCAGTGAGCTACACAGGCTTACACAACAAAAAAAGTCAAAGCCTGGAATTCCCGAGCAAGATGGCCAAATAGGAACAGCTCCGGTCTGCAGCTCCCAGCCAGACCAACACAGAAGGCGGGTGATTTCTGCATTTCTAACTGAGGTACCTGGTTCATCTCATTAAGACTGGTTAGACAGTGGGTGCAGCCCACGGAGGGCAAACCAAAGCAGAGTGGGGTGTTGCCTCACCCAAGAAGTGCAAGGGGTCAGGGAACTCCCTCCCCTAGCCAAGGGAAGCTATGAGGGACTGTGCCGTGATGGTGCACTCTAGCCCAGATACTACGCTTTTCTCACGATCTTCACAACCCACAGACCAGAAGATTCCCTCAGGTGCCTACACCACAAGGACCCTGGGTTTCAAGCACAAAACTGTGAGGCTGTTTGGGCAGACACTGAGCTAGCTGCAGGAGTTTTTTTTAATACCCCAGTGGCAGCTGGTATGCCATCAGGACAGAACCATTCACTCCCCTGGAAAAGGGCCTGAAGCCAGAGAGCCAAGTGGTCTTGCTCAGTGGATCCCACCCCCACGGAGCCCAGCAAGCTAAGATCCACTGGGTTGAAATTCTCACTGCCAGCTCAGCAGTCTGACGTCAACCTGGGATGCTCGAGCTTGGTGGAGGGGAGGAGTGTTCACCATTACTGAGGCTTGAGTAGGCACTTTTCCCCTCACAGTGTAAACAAAGCCCCAGGGAAGTTCAAACTAGGCAGAGCCCACCACAGGGCCACAAAGCTGCTGTAGCCAGACTGCCTCTCTAGATTCCTCCTCTCTGGGCAGGGCATCTCTGAAGGAAAGGCAGCACTCCATTCAGGGGCTTATGGATAAAACTCCCATCTCTCTGGGACACAGAACTTAGGGGAAGGGGCGGCTGTGGGTGCAGCTTCAACAGACTTAAACGTTCCTGCCTGCTGGCTCTGAAGAGAGCAGTGGATCTCCTAGCACAGTGCTTGAGCTCTGTGAAGGGACAGACTGCCTCCTCAAGTGGGTCCCTGACCCCCATGCCTCCTGACTGGGAGATACCTCCCAGCAGAAGTTGACAGACACCTCATACAGGAGAGCTCTGACTGGCATCTGACTTGTGCTCTTCTGGGATGAAGCTTCCAGAGGAAGGAGCAGGCAGCAATCTTTGCTATTCTGCAGCCTCCGTTGGTGATAACCAGGCAGAGTCTGGAGTGGACCCCCAGCAAACTCCAGAAGACCTGCAGCAGAGGGGCCTGACTGTTAGAAGGAAAACTAACAAACAGAAAGCAATAGCATCAACATCAATGAAAAGGACAACCATGCAAAAACTCTATCCAAAGGTCATCAACAGCAAAGACCAAAGATGGATAAATCCATGAAGATGAGGAAAAACCAGCACAAAAAGGATGAAAATTCCAAAAACCAGAATGCCTCTTCTCCTCCAATGGATCAAAACTCCTCGCCAGAAAGGGAACAAAGCTGGATGGAGAATGAGTTTGACAAATTGACAGAAGTAGGCTTCAGAAGGTGGGTAATAACAAACTCCTCTGAGCTAAAGGAGCATGTTATAACCCAATGTAAGGAAGCTAAGAAACTTAATAAAAGGTTGGAGGGATTGCTAACTAGAATAACCAGTTTAGAGAAGAACATGCATGATCTGATGGAGCTAAAAACACAGCACGAGAACTTCGTGAAGCATGCAGTATCCATAGCTGAATCAATCAAGCAGAAGAAAGGATATCAGAGATTGAAGATCAACTTAATGAAATAAAGTGTGAAGACAAGATTGGAGAAAAAAGAATGAAAAGGAATGAACAAAGCTTCTAACAAATATGAGACTATGCATAAAGACCAAACCTACGTTTGATTGGTGTACCTGAAAGTGATGGAGATAATGGAACTAAGTTCGAAAACACACTTCAGGATATTATCCAGGAGAACTTCCCCATCCTAGCAAGACAGGCCAACATTCAAATTCAGGAAATACAGAGAACACAACAAAGATATTCCTCAAGAAGAGCAGCCCTAAGACACATAATCATCAGATTCAGCAAGGTTGAAATGAAGGAAAAAATGTTAAGCACAGCCAGAGAGAAAGGGTGAGTTACCCACAAAGGGAAGCCCATCAGACTAATTAGTGGATCTCTCAGCAGAAACCCTACAAACCAGAAGAGAGTAGGGGCCAATATTCAACATTCTTAAAGAAAATAATTTTCAACCCAGAATTTCATATCCAGCCAAACTAAGCTTCATAAGTGAAGGAGAAATAACCCTTTACAGACAAGCAAATGCTAAGGGATTTTGTCACCACCAGGCCTGCCTTACAAGAGCTCCTGAAGGAAGCACTAAATATGAAAAGGAAAAACCGGTACCAGCCACTGCAAAATCAACCCAAAATGTAAAGACCATCAACACTATGAAGAAACTGCATCAACTAAGAGGCAAAATAACCATCTAGCATCATAATAACAGGATCAAATTCACACATAACAATATTAGCCTTAAATGTAAAGGGGCTAAATGCTCCAATTAAAAGGCACAGACTGGCAAATTGGATAAAAAGTCAAAGCCATCAGTGTACTGTATTCAGGAAACCCATCTCATGTGCAAAGACACACATAGACTCAAAATAAAGGAATGGAGGAAGATTTACCAAGCAAGTGAAAAGCCAAAAATTTTAAAATGGGGGGTTGCAATTTTAGTCTCTGATTAAACAGACTTTAAACCAACAAAAATCAAAAAAGACAAAGAAGGGCATTACATAATGGTAAAGAGATCAATGCAACAAGAAGACCTAAATATCCTAAATATATATGCATCCAGTACACGAGCACCCAGATTCATAAAGCAAGTTCTTAGAGACCTACAAAGAGACTTAGACTCATACACATGAATAGTGGGAAACTTTAACACCCCACTGTCAATATTAGACAAATCAACAAGACAGAAAATTAACAAGGAAATTCAGGACTTGAGCTCAGCTCAGAACCAAGCAGACCTAATAGACATCTACAGAACTCTCGACCCCAAATCAACAGAACATGCATTCTGCTCAGCGCCACATAGCTCTTATTCTAAAATCGACCATATAATAGAAAATAAAACACTCCTCAGCAAATGCGAAAGAACAGAAATCATAACAAACAGTCTCTCAGACCACAGTGCAATCAAATTAGAACTCAGGATTAAGAAACTCACTCAAAACCATACAACTACATGGAAACCAAATAACCTGCTCCTGAATGACTACTGGGTAAATAACGAAATTAAGGCAGAAATAAATAAGCTATTTGAAACCAATGAGAACAAAGACACAACATACCAGAATCTCTGGGACACAGCTAAAACAGTGTTTAGAGGGAAATTTGTAGCACCAAATCCCCACAGGAGAAAGCGGGAAAGATCTAAAATTGCCACCCTAACATAACAATTAAAAGAACTGGAGAATCAAGAGCAAACAAATTCAAAAGCTAGCAGAAGACAAGAAATAACTAAGATCAGAGCAAAACTGAAGGAGATAGAGACACGAAAAACCCTTCAAAAAATCAGTGAATCTAGGAGCTGGTTTTTTTGAAAAGATTAACAAAATAGATAGACCACTAGCCAGACTAATAAAGAAGAAAGGAGAGAAGAATCAAATAGATCCAATAAAAAATGATAAAGGGGAGATCACCACTGATCTCACAGAAGTACAAACTGCAATCAGAAAATACTATAAACACCTTTATGCAAATAAATAGAAAATCTAGAAGAAATGGATAAATTCCTGGATACATACAGCCTCCCAAGACTAAATCAGGAAGAAGTCAAATACCTGAATAGACCAATAACAAGTTCTGAAATAAAGGCAGTAATTAATTGCCTACCAACCAAAAAAAGCCCAGGACCAGACAGATTCACAGCTGAATTCTCCCAGAGGTACAGAGAGGAGTTGGTACCATTCATTCTGAAACTATTCCAAACAATAGAAAAAGGGGGACTTCTCCCTAACTCATTTTCTGAGACCAGCATCATCCTGATACAAAACCTGGCAGAGACACAACAACAACAACAACAAAATTCAGGCCAGTGTCCCTGATGAACATCACTGTGAAAATCCTCAATAAAATACTGGCAAACCAAATCCAGCAGTACATTAAAAACCTTATCCACCACAATCAAGTTGGCTTCAACCCTGGGATGCAAGGTTGGTTCAACATATGTAAATCAATAAACATAATCCATCACATAAACAGAACCAATGACAAAAAACACATGATTATCTCAATAGATGCAGAAAAAGCCTTTGATGAAATTCAACGCCCCTTCATGCTAAAAACACTCAATCAACTAGATATTGATGGAACATATCTCAAAATAATAAGAGCTATTTATGACAAACCC